AACTGATTTATTTTATCTTTGTCATGATGACTGTAAATAATATTTGACTAGATATTTTTCTAGACACTTCTATACAGCTTAAAGTGACATTTAAAGGCTTAAATAGTTTAATTAGGTTAACTAGGCAAGTTTTGTATAATGATGGTTTGTTCTGTAGTCTATCGAAAAAAAATATAGCTTAAAGTTAAAATAAATCAGCTATTAGAAATGAGTTATTAAAACTATTATGTTTAGAAATGTGTTCCTTCAATTGAACTGAAAATGGGGAAAAATATACAGCAGGGCTAATAATTCTGACTTCAACCTTATATATATGCATATGTGATGAACACAAAGACTCGGTGTAGAGAAATGCTGAAGCTGCCATAGCCAAACAGGAAGACCTTTAAATAAGATATTTTGTTTTCCACCTAACGTCTGAACTTACATGGTTTCCATTCAACTCCGTGAACTGCATCATGGTCTCGCATTTACTGCAACAACACTTTCTGCTGTGAGTGAAGCTTTCTCACGGCTTCACATCGCACTAAAGCAAACATATAGACATGAACATGTTCTTAACAACACATCGCTTAATGAAATCTCTTCTATCATATGACACCTCTCCATCCAGCCATCTTATAATATTCAGATTCAGAAATTACCAAAAGATATTGTCATCATCACGTTTTAAAAAAAGTAGATATTTTGAAGAATGTACTGCTTGCTGTTTTACATTATAATAAGTGCAGGTGAATAGAGTAAAAAAATTACAGTAGGTTATTCATCCATTCATTTTCTTTTCGGCTTAGTCCCTTTACTTATCAGGGGTCGCCACAGCGGAATAAACCACCAACTTAGCATTTGTTTTATGCAGTGGATGCCATTCCAGCTGCAACCCATCACTGGGAAACATCCATACATACTCATTTACACATATGCACTACGACTAATTCAGTTTTATTCAATTCACCTGTACCGCGTTGGACTTTTGGAGGAAACCGGAACACCCTCAGGAAACCCACACCAACATGGGGAGAATATGCAAACTCCACAAAGAAATGCCATCTGACTCAGCCGAGGCTCAAATCAGCAACTTCCTTGTTGTGAGGCGATCGTATTACCCACTGCGCCACCGGGACGCCCCATTACAGTAATAATTATATTTCTTGCATTTAAAAAATCTGAACATGATAGGAAGTCAGGTTAAAAAGTTTTCTTTCACTGATTCATTGATTGCCGTGTTAGTGAAACAGGGATTTTGGGGATCTTTTCAATCACTTCATATTTTGGAGAATGAAGTCACATGCATTGCTCAGGTGTGAGTTTTTCACGGACTTTAACAGAGTGTAAAAAGTACAACATTGGGTTCTATATTTCTATATTGGGTTCAGGTCAGGTGATTGGCCAGGCCATTCTACAGCTTGATTTTCTTTCTCTGAAAGCATTTGAGAGTTTCCTTGACTGTGTTCTGAATGGTTGGTTCTGTGAGTTGTTCTGTAAAGGAAGATGTCATTTATTTGGTTCTTAGATTTTTGTTCTGTATTAAAAAATTACAAATACTACAAATGTACAAACTCTGTCATTGTCCTTGTCCTTAGCCCAACTGAACCTACAGCTTTAATAGTTTCTGTATGCTAATGTTATTTAGAAAAAACAAAAACTTCAGAAATAGCAAGTTTATGTTGTTATCATTCACATAAATTGATTAAAAAACTTGAAATATAAATACATTCTACACATAAATACTACAAATATATAATACAAATAAATGTACAGTTGTCCGCATGATTCTGTCAGTCCAGTCACATTTGCATTAAATTCAGTGGTGGAAAGAGTACTGAAAAATCATACTCAAGTAAAAGTACCATTAATTGCACAAAAATGTAGTGCAAGTAGAGTAAAAGTATCTGTTGTAAATATTACTCAAAGAATAAGTAAAAAGTAGGCATTTTAAAAGTACTCAAGAGTAGTGAGTAGTATTACGCCATAAAAAGTCGTTTTGCATTTACATGCAGTTTGTACAGTGATGTGTAAACGTAACATTCTGTAGTGCATTTAGTAATCTTCCTATATTCGTTTGTTCCTTCCAAATTTCTTCCATTGTTTGTTTGTTATGTCCATCCTTCATTCTTTAATTTGTTTGTTCCTCCATTCATTTGGTCCTTCCTTCGTTCCTCCCTTTATTTGTTCGCTCATTTATATTTTTGTTCCTCCCTTCATTAGGTCCTTTGATCATTCGTTCGTTCCTTTCTTAGTTTGTTCAGTTCTTCCTTGAATCCTTACTTCATTCATTTGGTCTTTTGTTCGATAAATTGTTTGTTTTTATTTTTGTTCCTTTCTTCATTAGGACCCTTGTTCTTTCCTTCCTTCATTCATTTGTTCATTCCTTCCTTCATTCCTTTGGTCCTTCCTTCAATCCTCCCTTCATTTGTTCGCTCATTCATTTGTTCTTTCATTCATAATTTTGTTCCTTCCCTCATTAGGTCCTTTGTTCGTTCCTTCCTTCCTTAGTTTGTTCAGTCCTTCCTTGAATCCTTCCTTCATTCATTTGGTCCGTCCTTCATTAGTTCAGTCCTTCCTTCGTTGATTTCAGTCATCATACAGTCAACATCTTTTTTTTTTTTTTTACAGTCGACATCTATTTTCTCATCAGTGACATCCAGTAAATTAAAAGACTGTGTGTCAATGTGTGTAAATATTTTGAACATCTTCTTGGACATTTTTAATGCTTCTAAATGGTTTGCTGCATTCTGCATTGTTCAGTATCATGTGATTTACTTTCCATGAGTGATTTGATTAGACAGGAATCACAGGACTGATGTTTCTACTTTAGCCAATCACCAAAGACAAGAAAGAAAGAAAGTTGTGACTGCAGGTTGAAGGAAAGTAGTGAGTAAAAGTACCGATACTGCACTAAAAATGTACTCAAGGGAAAGTAAAAGTACACATTTTTAAAACTACTTAGTATAATTTCTGAGAAAAACTACTCAATTACAGTAATTTTAATATTTGTAATTAGTTACTTCACTGATTAAATTTTATCTAAAATGTGTGCAATACACCTTTAATGCTATGCAAGTGACATCATTTGATGGAGAAGGATTGAATTGAGTTGTATGATTTTATCTTTGTTTATGAGTTTTTGGTCACACTTTATATTGATGGTCTGTTTGTTGAATTTAAGTTACATTGCATCTACATGCCAACTAATTCTCATTAGATTATAAGTAGACTGTTAGGTTGGGGTTAAGTTGTGTAAGTTGACATGTATTTGCAAAGTTTCTGTTGAAGGAGCAGTGTCAACAGATATTAAGCAGACAGTCTACTAATACTCGAATGGACCATCAAAATAAAGTGTTACCCATTTTTTAAGGGACGAAAGCTTAAGTCAGGCCCTGTCACATTTTTTATAAGTGAAAGCGTGTGTTTCTGGTAGAATGCCCCACATAATATTTTCAGCCTTGACTGTACGTGGAAAAAAAGCCAAAGTTGTTGTGCATTGTGGCATGATAGATCACTGAGAACAATAAGTCAAGGAGAACTTTGCATGATGGGCAAAAAAAAAGAAAGATAAACCAAACTTCTGTCAATGGCGAAAACCAAACCCGCCCCATAATTCTGCCCACCTCAACGTAAAAATCCACCCAGAGATGATGCAATGTGTGTGCGTTGTGCTGAAGACTGTATTGAGGAGATACACTATCAGCTCATTACAGACACAACTCAAAGACGGCGTTTGATCACTTCAACTATGACGAAAATTAAAAACCGTGGCTTTATTATAGTGGATGTGTAGTAGGAGTGTTTATTTTTTATTTTTTTGGTTTGTGCACTGATAATTATAGTTTTACTACACATACCATGATTAAACTATGGTTAGTGTTCCTAACCAATGTGCATTTGTGATCATCTTATGGTTAAACTACAATTTCGATTATCTGTTTATTAAAATCATGGTTATTTTTCATATGTGTGTATATATATATATAGTGCTGTTTCTACCAAATGGTCGGTCAAATACAGACTGTTAGTTTAATATTTCAAATACTATTTCATTAACAATTGGGTTCGTCCATATTTGACCCAAATAAGCTTAAAACAACTCAGCATTTTAGTGAATGCTAAATTTCAATTATGGTTTACAATAATAGTATTGCATTAGGACAGAAAGGGGGCAGCACGGTGGCTCAGTGGTTAACACTGTCACCTCACAGCAAGAAGGTCGCTGGTTCAATTCCTGGCTGGGCCAGTTGGCATTTCTGTGTGGAGTTTGCATGTTCTCCCCGTGTTGGCGTGGGTTTACTCCGTGTGCTCAGGTTTCCCCCACAGTCCAAACACATGTGCTATAGGTGAATTGAATAAGCTAAATTGGCCGTAGTGTATGAGTGTGAATGAGTGTGTATGGATGTTTCCCAGTACTGGGTTGCAGCTGGAAGGGTATCCGCTGAGTAAAACATATGCTGGATAAGTTGGCGGTTCATTATGCTGTGGCGACCCCTAAATTAATAAAGGGACTGAGCTGAAGAAAACGAATGTCATACGTGGTCTCTAATAACGGATTTATTTTATCTTTACCATGATGTCTGTAAATAATATTTTACTATATATATATATATATATATATATATATATATATTCATCATTAAATATTGACCATTGATTAAACAAATGTTTATAAGCATTTCTAAAGTCAAACATCGGATTTGTGTTGTCTAAATCTGTTATTTTATACCAAAAAAGCAATTCTAAATAACCTTTTTTATTTTGAAAGAAATATGTCATCAGTAATTTTCAAAAAAAAAATGACGATTTACTAAAACACGATTTTCAATCACAACAAATTAAAACATTAACTCTGACTAACCCATTAACAGTTTTAAAACATAAATGACAATAATTTTAAGGTTCTCAACCAATTGATAAAACAAATATATAAATCCAGCAAATCCTGCAGAGAATGTTCGAGATGTTGCTTCAATCTTTTTCCATATCAGAAGCCTATATTGTTCTGTTCCTCCACGACTATAGAGGGCTCTGCTGAGTTCATCTAAACCCCTACAGTGACGAAAACAGACCCGCTCAGCAGCGTGCCGAATACTCGATCTGGGACATTTGAAGGTAATTCACTGTTTACACAACTCAAATCTTCATTGCATTATTTTAACAGCTCAATATCTAACCCGTTTTTTTTTCGTAAACTAAGGTAAAATTGGTTTTATACTCGCGCATTCGTTTGTTTTTGAACAGACGGACAACTTGCGACACGGTGCCTATATTGTACTTTGGATATTGGCTTTGAAATCGCATGTAAATATGACTTCAGAAGTACATTAGCACTGTTTAATTGATTGTGATCAGTGCACTGTAATAGTCGTTGTCTGCTAATGATTTCACTATTGATTCTGAAATGTTCGTTCAGTGACGACATCATGTGACATGCTTGTTAACTTATATGGTTTACCATGGTACGATATAGGTGTGACTTTAAACATTAGCACTATTTATTTGACTGAGCAATGCTGTACTTGGATGGTTATCGGCTGCTGACATGATTGTTTTATTTAAGTGATTATTTACTTGTATGAAATTATATATTATTAAGGAGAAAGTCTGAATATAAAACCAAGCCACTGCAAAGACGATGTTGATTCTGTAAACTGGTGTTTGTTAAATAAATTAAGGATCATTTAGGTTGTGACACGTTATTTTGACAAAATCTGAAGCCAGATGATTAAACTACTTTATTTTCTTCATGAAATAAATAAATATACTATAGTAATTTTAATTTATTGAGGTAAAGTTGGCTTAATATTCGCAATAATGTTGTTTACCATGGTACTTTGAATATTTAGTCTGAACTCGCATGTGAGTATGACTCTAAAACAACGCTAGCACTATTTATTTGACCATAAACAATGTTCTACTTTAGCTGCCAACATGATTTTCCTATTTAAGTTAGAATTTACTTCATTTAAAACAGTATTAGCACTACTTAATTTACTCAATTACTTGTCTGATTTTATATATTATTAAGGAGAAAGTCTGAATATAAAACCAACTTAACCTCAAGCACTGGAAAGACGATGCTGATTCTGTAACCGGAAGTGCACTGGTGTTTGTGAAATAAATTGAGGTTGATTTAGGTTGTGACCTTACCTTAACAAAATCTGAAGCCACATGATTAAACTACTTCATTTCCTTCATGAAATAAATATAAAATACTATAGTAATGTATTGAGGTAAAGTTGGCTTAATATTCGCACATTCGTTCAGTGACAACATGTGACATGCTCACTATGTTGTTTACCATGGTACTTTGAATATTAAGCCTGAACTTACATATGAGTATGACTCTAAAACAACACTAGCACTATTTATTTGAACGTACACAATGTTGTACTTTGATAATCATTGGCTGCTAACGATTTTCCTATTTAAGTTAGAATTTACTTCATTTAAAACAGCATTAGCACTATTTAATTAACTTAACAATGTAGTACTTTAATAGTCGATAGCTGCTGATATGATTTTCCTATTTGAGTTAGAATTTACTTGTCTGAAATGATATATTATTAAGGAGAAAGTTTGAATATAAAACCAACTTGACCTCAGTCACTGGAAAGACGATGCTGATTCTGTAATCGGAAGTGCAGTGGTGTTTGTGAGATAAATTAAGGTTAGATTAGATGATTAAACGACTTTATTTCCTTCTTAAACAAATACTATAGTAATTTATTGAGGTAAACTGGTTTTATATTTGCGTATACATTCAGTGACAACTTGTGACATGCTCACTATATTGTTTACCATGGTATTTTGAATATTCAGTCTGCAATAGCATGCAAATATGACTTCAAAACAACACTAGCATTATTTAATTGACAATGAACAAAGTAATAGTTTGATGGTCATTAGCTGCTAATATCATTTTCTTATATAAGTTAGTATTTCCTTAAATGAAATGATATATTATTATTAAGGAGAAAGTCTGAATATAAAACCAAATTTGCCTCTTTACTGCAAAGAAGATGTTGACTCTGTGACTGGAAGTGCAGTGGTGTTTATTGAATAAATTAAAGTTAATTTGACAAAATCTGAAGTCAGTTGATTAAAAGACTTCATTTCCATCTTGAAAAAAAAATTATCATAGCAATTTGAGGTAAAGTTGGTTTTATATTCGCACATTAGTTCAGTGACAATCTAAATTTGAATTCTCAATTTGAATTGTAATTCAATAAATCTCAATTTTTATATGAATTTGAATTTCTTCATTTGAATTTTATGAATATTAAATATCTGAAATTAAAGACAGCGGAATTTTTCAAGGCTTAATTTTTATATAGACGTATTTTCAAACTTCAGATTTTTTTGGTGTTCTGAATTCCTATCTCCTCAAAACTATTTTAAAGGCATATAAAAATTTAGATTTATTAAATTATAATTGAAATTGACAATTCAAATTCAGATTGTGTTGGCATATTATTAGCTCCATAGTACAATGGACTTGTTCTTGAGCCTTACTGTGCACTACAATGACGATGATTGAAAGCTGCGCCAGAGATACCTTTACACGACATATAAAACTTGTCAGTGAACTATGAGGGGAAAAAATTTCATAAATTAAATAATCGTTCATTAATTGTAATCGAGTTAAAATGTTCAGTTAAGCAGGGTTTTGATTTTAGGTCAAATCGCCTAGCCCTAAGAAAAGGGTAGTGTTACCAAAAATGACTCATGGAGCCAAATTAAGACACAAAATCACACCAGAGTGAATGGAAACATCCCCAACCGCACATAAGGATGAACTGTGTTACTTTGACAGCCATTAGCTGCTAATGTGATTTCCTGATTTAGGATTAGCAAAGAATACCTTCATGAAATGATATTAAGTCAAAAATATGCGAATAAAAAAAACGTCCTCAATTCTGAAGTCATGCTATTGTAGAGACATTTCTAATGTGCGAACATAAAACAAAATGTACCTCACTTTCTCATTAACAGCCTCAGAATGGTGTTGGGGCGGATATTTCACGCGTTAATAAACAACGCTCAGGTGGTGGAAAAACTGGCGGAGTCTCGACCCATCCGACGTGCAGCTCAGATCACGGCCTTCGCCATCACTAAAGCGCAGATCGCCGGCAGAGAGGCCTCCACAAAGCTGCTCCGCTCCGAAACTCTCCAGCAGATCCGCAAGGAGAGCGCACAGATGCCGGGAGACGTGCAGGAGTTGCGCCGCAGGGCCACCAGACTACGGGACACCTTCGTGAAGGAGGTCCGAGAGGGAGTGAGGGACGCAAACCGGCAGATTAAAGACAGAAAGTGACGGATGAAGTGCAATATGAGGACAGTGCCATTAAAGACTCCATGGAGAATGATCGATTTAAATGAGTGACACTGAAAACATGACGTTGATTCTGTGAATGAAAGTGCAATGATGTTTGAATGAAATAAAGTTGATCAAGGTTATGCCACAAAATTTTGACAGAATCATTTTAAGCCAGATAATTAAATGACATTTCCTCCTTGAAAACATACTATAGTGCTTTTGAACCAGGGTAGAGCATTGTATTATATTTACAAGACTGTGTTAATGAATGTTATAGTGCACTGTAGTATTACCTATGTGAACTGATTATCTGTAATACTGTAGTACTTTAGTTTTTACTTCAGTAAACTGGTGGTTTTTACTGTAGTTTAATTGTAGAAAACTGTAGAGTATTGGGTTGTTTAGCCTATATTACTAATTATATTACACTCAAAAATAAAAGGACAGGAGCTGTCACTCTGGCAGTACCTTTTCAAAAGGTACATATTTGTAGCTGAAGGGTCCATAATGGTACCTCTCAAAGGTACTTTTTAGGTACATTTGAGCACTAATATGCATCTTTAAGGTACCATTGTGAACCCTTTGGGTACAAATATGTACCGTTTAAAAAGATACTGCCCCAGTGACATCACAACTCCGTATACCTAATGTTTTAAAAAAAGGTCCGCTTCACTGATTTGATGTAATTGGCCAATCAGCCTAACAGTAGTGCTGATACTCTTATAAAAACAAGCACTGGAATTGTCACTGCTCTTTGCCATATTTCATCTACACAGATTAAGTAACATAAAACAATTAAGTTACCCTAAAAAAAACCTCAAGAATTTTGTTGATTCAGCTCATTTTAAATAAGTAGTTTGACCAAACAGTAAACATGATTATTGCAAGGTAAAAAATAAATGATAAAAATTCAAGTCAACAAATATTTTTTTAAGTTAATTAGGTTTCAGCTTGTTTATTGTTTAAAATGGTTTCACCTATGATGCAAATCATCTTCTGTAAGCTGTCTGGAGAGAACTGTGTGCATGTATAGTGTGTCCACAGTCATATTGCGGTGATATAAACCCAACAAGTTTCTTTTTAAAAATTTCCTGATGTTAAAATAGGACCCAAATCCCAGTGATTTTGAGACCCACCGCAACGTGACGTGGGAGTGCGTTTTCCCCACCCACCAAATTGATTGACAGGTGTCATGTCCCCATAATAACAAGTATACACGTTTAAAGAACTGTTTTTGCAAAGAAAATGGTAGTGAACATGCTACATCTCTCTCTGATCAGCAGCATCTCAATAATAAGTTTTCTAAGTTTAAGACATTTTTAAAACAGAGCATGTTTGTAATAAAGACAGTAAAATTGCTGTAATTTTTAACTGCTGTAATCACCACGGCTGCATGGTGTCAGTAAACGTGCATATGTGTTTGTACCGGGAAATGGCATTTGTGTGGGACTCATCATTTCAGAAAGGCTTGAATAGACTCCACCACAAATACATTAAATACTTGGTATTTTTGACTAGTGACCTTATTTCAGCTTCATCTGTGTCTATCACTGACTGCTGTTTATCTGTTGATCGCATAAGAAACAGTGGGCGGGGTTAAGCAGCTCATTTGCATTTAAAGCCACAGGCTACCAAAACAGCTACATTGTCCTCAGACACCAAAATGGGCAGATTCTGGAGGCTATAATAAATAGTCTGATGGGTATTTTGAGCCTAAACTTTACAGACACATTCTGGAGACACCAAAGTCTTATCTCACAAAAAAATTTACTTCATATTTTTAGTCAGTTTGATTGATGCAAGTTGAAATGACTAGAAAAAAATGATTTGATTCGACTTAAAAATTCAAGGCAGCAAGAACTCAGCCTTCGTGGTGACCCTGATGTCCATCTTTCCTTTCACAGAAGACATAAAACAGGTTTGGATCAACATTAATGTCAACATTTTTCCAATTTGAACCCTTTAAAGTCACACATTAACAGCCAACGTTTATAAGTGTATGCAGTGTTTCACCTCATAAACTCACTTCATCCGTCCGCCTGAAGGAAGACTCACACGGGCACTGTGCTGTATGAGAAACATTTTGTTTTATTTGTTTTTCTTGAATCAGCCATTCTTCTTCATTTTGATCAATGGAATGAATCAGATCAGTACGTTATTTACATGTTTGCTTTTTTTCTCCAGTCCCAAAAATGTCCCTAAAGTGGTGAGGTGGTAGAACAAACAAGCAGTCTCAGTATAGAAAACAATCATGTCGTAGGAAGAGCAGGCCAGACCTTCTCCAGTAAAAAAAAACAACAACAACACGAGTCTCTGCGGAGAGTGTTAAAGCTGGACGGACGGAGCGCTTTTCTCCACTTACGAAGACTCAGATGCAACACACACACACTTCCAGAAGATGATGTTCAAACCGAAGAGGAAGAGACAGAACCAGCTTGCGAATAATCATCATCATAATTGCGAATCATTTGTCAGTTTTAGAGTTGTCAAGATACTGGAGTTCGGTAACAATCAATACTGACATTTCCTGCAAACATTTGAGCACGTTCTTAAACAGCGCTGATTTGCCATTGTGTTCACGTACTCAATAGAAATGACAGTGATTGGTCGTGAAGGTCATCAGTTCACCAAACTCACCGCTATTTACTGAGTGTAACCACAGATACAGGAACACTGGAAAAGCCGTGATTCATCAGTGTCAGCTTATCGACAAATCAGCTCATAGACATAACTTTGAAACACTCCAGTGTTCCTGTATCCGTTTACACTGTTGTACATATGCTGAATAAGTTGGCGGTTCATTTCGCTGTGGTGACCCCTGATTAATAAAGGCACTAAGCCGAAAAGAAAATGAATATTAGTATTTAAGATACAGATCAGAGCAAACTATTTCTCACTATTTAGAGGGCTAACCCTTTCCTTTACATGTTGTTTTGACATCCTTCAGGGGGATCAAGCATTAATTAGAGGGGTCAACCCCCCCCACCCCAAACTCACCTGTAGTTTGTTACACTCAGTAAACAGCGGTGAGTTCGGTCAAACAGCATAGAATTACCAAGAGGCGACACTCTAGTGCAATATGGGGAAAAGCCACTAGATGGCGCGACGGCCATTCTGGAAAGAAAACTCCAATAGAACAACAGCATATATATGCCAGTAAAATAAACCATTAACCACTTAAACTCTGCTGCTATTTTGGGATTTCCGCCTGGATTTTGCCTACCCAAATTTAAAAGCTTCCCAAATCCACATACAGAGGTGTAAATGCAAAAATTTGGTATCATTTTAAAGAAAACCCTTTGAATTTTCATAAAACACTATTGAAAGTGTTTAACCTTTTAGGTTCTGTGTGGTCTAGCGTGCTGTAATTAATGTTGGTGGTTTCTGCACATGTCTGTAATCATAGGAAAAAAGAAAAAGGTCTCCACCATAATCTATGCAAAAGTTATTGTATTACAACTGATGAGAGGTGCTGTACAAGCCACAGGGAGCGATCATTGTTTTCATATTTCACTATTCTTTTGTTTGATCAAACATAATTCACTGTGTTTGGGCCACATCAGACATATAAAAGCATTACTTATGCACATCACCTCAAAAACAGAGGAGAATGGCCCTGAAGCGCACAGCATAAGGTAAGAGATGACAGCTGTCTGTGCTATCTGGGGCTGCTTATTGATTAAAAATGTATTGTTTACATTTCTGCGCCTTGGAAACACCACAATTCATTCAACAACTGTTTGATATGTGAATATAATTCAGTAAAAAGAATGCTAGAACCGTATGAGCACCGGCAAGAGCTTTCGTTTGAGCTATAACTTGTACATGTGTCATATGAAAAATATGAAAATGAACCAATGTAAAATACCTAGCTCAGGTATCCAAAATACTGTGTATTTAAGTGTAAATAACTTTTATACAGTGGAATAAAAACCAAAGTGATGCATATGTGCATAAAATATAGATTCTACACTTTCAAACGACACCACTTAAGGGGGTCTGGTGCAACGCTAGCCCTTTAAATCTGAAAGCGAAAGTCGATGACTCCGCAGAGTTTAAGTGGTTAAAAGTGCTGATGATTGTGATGGTAAGCGTTGTATTGTTGTCCTACAGGTTGTATCTCAGCTTTAGTGCACTTTTTAAATAAACAAATAAACAAAGCAGCTGCTTTCCATCGCGACAGCAATAAGATCCAATGGACGACCGATCGCTTTCTCTCCAAAATGGCGGAATCCGGGGCTGTTGCTGGGCGCTGCTGTTGCAATGGAACGTTCTATTGAGTGTCGCCTCTTGGTCATTCTAAGTTCTTTGGTTCGGTGAACTGATGACCTTCACGGCCAATCACAGTCATTTCTGTTGAGCATGTGAACACAAAAACAAACAATTTCTTAAATGTTTGCAGGAAATAGATGTTTTTAAAAATCTCAGTACCAATTGGTACTGAATTCCAGTATCGTGACAACACTAGTCAGATTAGGAAAATAAGGAGTGGCAAACGAAAAGGAAAATATATATATATATATATATATTCATACTATTTTATTTGTGTGTATGTGTTTAAATCTCTTGCTCTATTATACATCATTTTAATCATGTCAAGAAAATAACTCCCATCATAGCAGTGCTTACGTAAAGCTCAATATAGACTTTTATTATAACAAAATAGGCAGTTTATGGAGGGTTAAAGATCTCATCGTACAATAAATTTCTTTATTGCCTCTTTAAAAATAGCAGTTCCTTATAAATGGCAGACTTTTTATCCCCTAGATGTAAATCAAAGGTGTTGAAAACAGGTACTCTTGTGTTAAGACACTGATTGTAGACTCGGACATTCTAACGGCACACGCTTTCGACGCCTGTGCAGCGGGACATCGGCAAAAACACACACGGCTCCAAACAAAACAAAACAAAAAAAAAAAAAAGCAGACGATCAGATGAGGAAGAACAAGACACATGCCGATACAACAGTCACGGGAGGAAAACAAACCAACCAAATCAATGTGCAGGATTTGTGACGAGACGAAAGGGCCGAAAAACACCTGGTCTTAAATAGCTACAACGTGCAAAGTTTAGCTTTTTTTTGTGTGTGTGAGTGTGTGTGTGACTCTCTCACCATTTCGATGCCTGAGACGTGAGTTCCGTGTTTCCATCGACACAGGATCGAGCAGGTTGAATTATAATAAAACGACACTTCAAATGCAGATCTCTTGTCCGTACATAGCAACCTCCCTTAAACATTAAGGAACTGTACCGTTTCCGAAGCCCTGGTAAACAGATGCTGGTCTAGCATAGCTTGGCTTTCTGTAAGCGTGGAAGCAGTGGAGATCCGACAGATCGTCTTTCTCTAGAAGTCAGTCAGGAGGTGAAGATGCGGGACTGAACAGAGATTAAGGAATTAATCTGTTGAGCGAACGCGGTCAGTTGGAGGAAGAAAAAAAAAGTTAACCAAAAAGTGAGAGAATCAATAAATAAAGCAGGCAGAGAAGAAGGGATGATCAAACTCCTGAAGGCCTTCATAGTTTCTCCTTGGACTGTACCCATATGTATGGCCCTGACTGTTCCTCGATGATCTGCTTGACTTGATCGTAGATCTCCTCTAAAGTGTCCCCCTGAACGATGGCTGAAACGCAGAGAAGAATCGGCAGAGAATAAAGCAGACAGTCGAGCACAGACACTGCTATACAATCATGTTAGCTGCTGTTTACACTGGTGCAGTTTTGTTTTTAAGCCACATACGTTTTGGTATTGTTACATCCAGTGTCCATGCTATTCTGTGATCTTTGACTTGTGAAAATTGTGCATTTTGTAAAGGCTAAACGCCTTGTTTTAGTTTGGAAATGCTGCTGTTGTTTCAGTATAAATGGAGTTAAAAAATTTTGAAAATGAAGGCATCTATCCACAAATCCACAATCACTCTCTGATTAGTCTTTGCGCTTGAAGATTTCCAGAAACCAAATAAATTTTATTCAACTATTAGAGTTACCTGTGGCTGGAAGAGCATCCGCCACATACAACATATGCCAGAATAATTGGCGGTTCATTCTGCTGTGACACTTCTTGATAAATCAGGAACAAAGCCGAAAGATAATGAGTAATTATTAGAATTACCACAGGTGTCAAAGGCTGCATTTACCATGTAGATCTTGATGATCAATGCTGATTTTGTGACTGTATCCAATTTTTTGTTGGCCAGCTTACATCATATTTTAAAATAGACTCGTATCTGATTGACTGCATTTACACTGCATAAGGCAAAAGGTGCAATGAGCAGAAAAAAAAGCAGGCGCTGACTGACAGCTGTTAATAAAAGAGCGCTCTTTTTTTCCCGTAGCCCTGCACAGTTTAGTTTCAACCCTAATTAAACACACCTGATAAGACATTGAGCCCTTCGGGCTTGTTTGAAACCTACAGGTAAGTGTGTTGGAGTTGGGTTGGAACTAAACTGTGGAGGGCTGCGACACTCCAGGAACTGAGTTTGACACCCTGCTATATTGTGTAGACTATTTTACAATTTTTGTAAAGGAGTTTTGACTAAAGAGGTTGATGTTTTACCATAAGATGGCGACAGAGACCGCATAATTAGTCTTTAGAGGAGAAAAACAGCATTTTTTCAAGTTGTAAACTACAGGTAAGTAACATTCTAAGTCGATCTCTCTCTTTTGCAATTTGTAGTGCTGTACCACAGTAATCTGCTAGTGTTTGCTTTGGCTTGTTTGGGGATATGTTTTGTGATCTCCCAATTGCAACAGAGAAATACTGGGAAATCTCTGTAGACTGATCGCATTTCATGCCGTTCAGCCTTATAATCTTAAAATGTCAGCAAAATCAGCTGTTTTGTCGTCACTTTAGATATTATGCTAGAGAATCACTCAAATACTAGCTCTAAAGTGATGTTTTGTGAATTAGCAATGGTTTCTGCTGTTCTGACAACAGCTGCAAATGTAAATTAATGGCAGAAAAAAGTCGTTCCTCATACAAATGGATTTCTGAGACTCTCTGTGTTTTATTTTCTTTTTTATACACACGATTATGCCGTCAAACTGTTGTATAAATGCAATGTCACACGAGTAGCAGTGCGATATGGCAGTATGTCGTGTCTCTGTAGGTATTGCAATGCTTGTTTTTAAGTGCTTACATTTTAAATGTTTATTATTAGTTAGTTACATATAACACTATATCTCAACCCCAAAACTTAAACCATCTTCAATCACACTTTATATCCAGCGGCCTTAACTAATATGTATTAACAATAAAATTATTCATTTGTTACAATGTAAGTATTGTGTAAATACATGTTTATACATCATGCTTATGATTGATTAATATCTGCATGTCATTACATCTGTAATCAACTTTACACCGTTGACCTTATTATCCCCTAGACCTTAACACACCCTTGAACCAACCCATACCACCAAACCTGTCCCTAACCCTACCCATATCCCACCCTGAAGTGTTCTGCAATACATTATAAACACAGTAAGTACATTGTATTTATATTTTGCTGCAACTCCATAGTAGTTAAGGCCACTAATAAAAAGTGGGAGCCCTTCTTCTCCTGTATATACTGAAATAATGAATATATACTGTATGTAAATGTGTTGTGACAAGCAGACAGACCTGTGAAGTGCTCCATGAACTCCTGCTCCAGCTTCATGGCTCTGTCGTACGTCTTTCTGCCTTGCTCCTCCGTCAGTCTTTTGTTCATCTCCCTGAAGAGAGAGAGCAAACAGGCTCTGATTACACACTTTTATTACACTGCTTGCGGAAGACAGAACAACCTTTATGGATTAGTGACTCGTAATATATATACTGCACTATAAAACAAACAGACAAACAAACAAACGCATTGATAAATACATTTGATCTGTGATCTGCAACACATCACACTTGTTTCATCAGCACCTAATTAATGTGTTCAAAACATTCTTCAAAATAAAAGTGCAAATCGAATTTATAACAAACAAAATTGGGGCATAAAATAAACATATAGTGGAATAAATAAATGTTTCGATTGAGAGTGTTGCATCAAGTTTTATGATCTGACGGGGCAGTGATTCAATTGTTAAATAATTATTTGACGTCACAGATATCTGCATGCTTTCTTTGTGTATTTTATGTATTTATATATTTAATGCAGGAATTTGGAGGTTCATTGGACAGTAAGAATGATTAATAAATCCATATGAAACAACAGTCCCTTAAAAGTCACAATTCGTCCTAAGTTTCAGGCTCAGGCGCGCTTTAAGCCTGGTTTATACTTCTGCGTCAAGTGATGGGCGTAACCCACGCCGCATGCAACGCCCGTTGCTGTGCATTTATACTTCTGCGCGCTGTCTCTGTTGGTCTGCATTAACACTTCCGAAACGCTAGTTGGCAGTGAGGTGTAAATGTTCCTCTGTGTCGAGTTTCTTCGCTGCTGTTTTGCTTTTCCTGAACACTTCCTGGATGTACAAGTGGCTCAAACTCACTCATTTTGAGGCAGGAACCGGCGGACGTGCAACAACTTTAACTCTGAGGTAAACACAAAACAAGACTTTCCATCCGGAGCTCCTTCACGGGACTGCACACTTCTAAACAATCGCTCCATTGGGCTCGCATGGCTCTCGGTCCCGCCCAGACTCGTCAGCGCTACCAAGCCGACCAATCACTGAGCTTGCGCTATGCGTTGTTGCGATGTGTAGTTACATTTTTTGAGAGGTGCACGTCAGTGACGCCCACGCCCACGGCAAAGGGCTATGCGTCAGCGCCGTAGCATACGCGTGCGTTTAACGCAGAAGTATAAATCAGCCGTTACACTCACACTGTAAGTGTACTGCGCCAAAGCCCAAGTAAACCGCACTCTGGCACACCTCTTCCAACTGGCCAGGGCCGGCCAACTAAACCGCGCCTGAGCCAGATTTAGAGAACTCACACTTCTCAAATGACCCGGGAAACGGGCCTGGGCATGGTTCGAATAGCATAGTGTAAGTGAGTATGCCCTGACTAAAATAAAAGCAGTTTTGAAACCATTTTAAGATGCGGTGAAGTGCTTTGAAATGTACTTTTTTTTTGTTTGATGCATGGGTCTCAGGTTAAAAAAGGTTGGATAACACTGCTGTACTGTACCACTCAGTGCAAACGGGCCACAAAACGAATCATGTTCATGAAAACACAGCGACTCCTAGCATGACGATGTTATTAGCAAAAGCTAGCTTGATCGCTTGTCTTTTACTCACATGATGTTCTCCACTGATTTTGGTTTGATGAAGATGCCGATGGGGTAAAGCATAGCCACTTGCAGCCTCTTGATGGCGTTACCAGACACATCTAGAATGCAGTGTTTGCCCTGTGGACACACACGCATGCAGTGTTTCCATACGGTTAGCAATAAGCATTCATATTATGCTTTAAAGTGGTGTGGTGTCAGCATTTGTGCAGGTGTATGTCTCCAGAAATAATGCATTCTGAAATAACACATTATGTAAATATCCATGTAGATGGTTTGTGTGCAGACTGGTATTTGTGTGCTGGTAGTGTCTTGTTTCCTCTGGTGTGCTATCAATCTGGAGCTCACCTTTTCCGCCACCTCTCTGACCGACTGCACACTGGTCCCGTACAGGTGGCTGTTGTACTGGCCGGCCTCGATAAACTTGTGCTCCTGTATATCTCTCTCCATCTGCTCTCGGGACACAACAAAGTGGTAGTCTCTGCCGTCCACCTCATAATCTCGCTTCGGCCTTGTCGTATCTAGAGAGAGAGAGAACATGAAAATGACAGACGTGATTTCTGTATTGAACCCATGCTTGACGCAGAATAACTAACTGTATTTCATAGAGTTTCTCAGCACAATTTTTTTTACAGTGTCGTCTGATGTGACCAAGCGATGTTGTGATTTTCCCCTATGTGATCAGTTCATAACAGTGTGTGCAGACAGGAAACTTACGGGGAACACAGGAACCAAATTTGTCCGGGAACTCTGATATCAGGTCATCGTTTACTCTGTCTTTCATCGGACCCAAGATGATCACCGGTCGAGAGTAGTTTACTGTGGAAAGAGCATACATACAAATCAATGGGCTATAGGCACAGCTAGTGTTTTTCAGCCCACGAAAAACTTCCGGTGATAGGTTAATGTGACTTTTTAAAATTTCATATAGTTTTTTAAGCACCATCGATGTTGTAAACGAATTAAAATACAATTAGTTAAATAGACTTAAGTATTTATTTAGTTGTTTAAACGTAAAACGAGATGAAAGATGGCATCAGTAGCTGGCTAGGCTAGCGCAGAAACTCCATTGAAAATACTGAGGTAAAATATATGTTCATATTTTAAAGACATGGCGCAGAACAACAGAATTTAATGCAGTGCTTCTTGTCCGATCTGAGACATACTTTATATAGTATACCAATCAGGCAGTGAAGATCACTGATTTTTAAAGAAACTAGATCCTAAACGTGGCAATTTTGCAATAGAAAGACAATTCACCGGAAGTGCTTGGGCTGACTGACTGAAAATTAAGTCTGTGTGTGCACATAGCCCATTATGTTTACCTAAAAAACAACTGTTAATATGTGAAATCTCAAACGTTAGCATTAGCATTTTACCTTCCTGCTGACTGACTGGCTCATAAGACAGCACATATTCCTCCTGTCCGCCTGAAAAATTAACAAAACACAAAATAAAACTACTCATTATTTAGAGTATGCTACATTTAAGCAAACAAAGCAAGGCTGTTAATATATTCAAGCAATTTGCTCATGCATTCTTGTTATTAAATGTGTGAAATGGCAGCAAAAGCTACGCAAGATCCACTTGTGGCCACTAGAGGTCGTCTGTGCGCCAGAAATGAAGCGTTCAGGCAATGGAGTCGTCCGTCATGGTTGGCATGAGACTGTCATAATGATTAAAGTGGAGCTGTTTCTGTGCATCTCAGCAGGCCTGATTGCCTAAGGCTGGCTGCGTTTGTGGCAGAGACGTGCTAGAAATGAAATAAGAGTCTTCTTTAAAGTTAAGTGCAGAATCGGTAAGGATCTAAGACATGCCTTTGGTGTATAACGCACAGTATTGTAGCATAATGTGCATTAGGCTACAAATTATTCTGCATTTAATACCAATTCACAATGAATGTGATGTGAAATTAGAGCAGAATTAGTTTTATTTTTGTTAGTTAAATGTATGAGAGAAATTTTTTGTTACATCCTTTTGTATACATACTTTTGTAAACAGTGCAGCTATTTACTGCGATGGCAAAGAAATAAACATATTTTCTGTTGCTTAACGTCATTTCAAAAGTTGATTTTAATTTTATGTTTGTAAAAATTCTTTTATTTACTTATTTTAATTATTTGAGGCACAAATATATATAAAAAAGTTTGAAATTCATCTTTTGTAACATTATTCATGTATTAAGTAAAAGCTACAAATTTTACGGCAAAAAAATTATAATTATCATTATTATTAAAAACATAAACAGACATGGTTATTGGTGTCTGAGAATTTCAATGTAGAGCTCCGGGGACAAAAAATATTAGGAGCACTTTCCCATTAGTTATTAAGGTCAGAATTGGTAAGGGCCCAAGATGTGCCTTTGGTATACATCACGCTGTATTGTAGCATATTGTGCATTAGGATACAAAATGTTATGCATTTTTTACCAATCCATATAAATGTGATGTGAAATATGTGCAGCATTAATTGTATTTTTGTTAGTTACTCACATGTAGGAAAGAATACTTTCTGATTTAACACTTTTTAGCGCAGTTTATTTCTGTAATGGCAAAGTTCAATTTTCAGGTTTCATATTTAGAGTTGTTTAACGTCATTTCAAATGGTTAATATTTTTTTTGTAAAAAGAGTGATTTTATTTATTTATTAATTTATTGACTTATTTTAAGTCTTTGAGGCACAGAAAGTATATAAAAATTTATTGTTTGAAACTGATCTTTTGTAACATTATTAATGATTAACTAAACACTACAAATTTTACTGCATAAAAAGATTATTATTATTAAAACAAATAACCAAAATGTTGTTATTTTAATGTTTGAGATTTTGAATGTATAGCTCTAAATAAATGTCCTTATAATTGGTTATTACTGGTTCTCTGGATTTTCCATTAATATATATATATATATATATATATACATATATATATATATAAATAATTTAAGTTTATATATTATAAATGTATTAGTTTATATTTTATATTACGTTTATAAAGTAACCGATGAGTTTGTGTGTATGTATATATATGGTTGATTTTACATTAATATAAATAGTTTTACCAGTACACATGTAACATTGAAGATGCAAAATTATATATTCTATATTGATAGTCATTTTTTGTATCCAAATTATCCAAATGATCCTACAGTTACTGTACTATATGTACATTTTCACATGAACAACTGTGTTTCTTAAAAAAAAGTTTTAGAGCTAAATATACAATGCATATTAAAAAAAATAACCAAACAAGCAGCTTGTCCAAATACTTAATCGACAATTCTGTGATTAAATTCCACAGAGCGTCTTCTTTGCGCCTTCGCCACGGTTTCATTCACGACCCAATTACATGCTTGTGTGACGTTTAGAACGGTGGCATCATGCAGAATCTGGTAATGGCGTTTAATGGCCAGTCTGTACGGCTGATCACAGTCTGGCCCCGCGAGACAGTGTAGTAATATCTTTGATAACACAGCACTGTGACTCTGACTATCTCTGACAGAGCGAGGGCAAGGGCACTGTTGCCATGGAGATTGCGCTAGGGGCCGGCGGAGGACGAACTGATTGATTTCGCTATAGTATCTGTGTGGCTTCTGGAACGTTACCCAGCCGGCCTCACTGCTGCAGCGCTGTGTGAAGTCCACAACTAACTGTGTTCAGATTCAGATTGATTTAAGGCAAGACACTGCAGGTGAATTGGGCAAAAGAATAGTTATTAAATGTACTTCAGCAGTTATTTGAATACTTTAAAGGAATGGTTCACGCAAAAATGAAAAATACCTCATCATTTATTCTCCCTCATGTAGTTTTAAGAGTTGCTTTCTTCTGTTGAACGCTAAAGATTATCGCTCCGTAATTTTGAAAATACCACACACAGCCAGTAATACAAAAGTGGAATTTATACATTGAATGTAATACGATTGGCGCATTTGTATTGCATTCCACAGTTTCGTTATCAGAACCACTGTGGAAAATAAAACCATATCTGTGTTGGCTAGCCTGGACCAGCACGAAGTGGAATGGTTAAATAAAGTGAACCACTCGATCCAATACTGAAAAAGCAGCTAATGATTTTAGGTTTTTTTCTCAGATGTGGATTTTGACATCTGTTTTTATCTCTTCATAATTTCGAAAATATCCCACACAGCAAGTAATACAAAAGTGGAATTAATACATTGAATGTAACACGGTTGGTACATTTGTACTGCATTCCACAGAGCTTCGTTTTCATTAAGTGAATATAACCATTTGGTCCAATGGTGAAAAAGCAGCTAAAGTTTTATTTATACTTTTTTTTCGGTGAGGAATTTTGACATCTGTTTTTATCCTTTCATAATTTCGAAAATAGCACACATTTTGACATAACCCTTGACTTTGTTTGCCTACTGTTGACGCCAATGGTTACTGGGCTTCTACAAAATATCTTCTTTAGTGTTCACCACACTTGAGAGCGAGTAAATGTTCGCTTTTGGGTGAACTGTCCCTTTAAACGTTTGTAAATGCAGCTGAAGTGGAGATTTGTAACTCATTTCGAGAAAACATCCTTTATAAATACGTGTTGCACTTCAAAACCTACAAACTACAATGGAGGGCAACAAAATAAAAGTGTATGTTGGATGTTCTCTTCATAATCATCATAAAAATAAAATAACGCCTAAAATTTCCAAACTGACAGATGCATGAAACAGTTTTTGCCTGCAATGCCCTGCCTCAGAATGGATCTCCCATACATGTTAATGCACAGCAGAGAGGATGGAAAAAGAGAGTGTTAAATATGTAACAGAAAAGCAGGCGAGGTCGACGGCTAAATGGCACACAATGGAAGGAAGAAAACTTACGGTAACTACTCTCACTATCACTGGCATTAGAGGTGACATGCTCTGAAATCATACACAGGGGGAATGGATGATGAAAACCAACAACATGAGCATATGATGATGCTTAAGTTGACTTTAAACAACACAGGAACCTCAGTCCTGAGTCTCAATACAGTGGAAAATGACAGACACTTTTCACTGAAGTACCCCTTGCAGTAACTATATACCTCTACAAAATTTATTTACCTAGATAAATTGACTTTAGATAGATTAATTTCCCTTCCAGATTTCACTTAGTTACAATGAAAGTACTCAAAATTATTTGCGAAGGTTTTTTTGGCCAAACTAATGTGGTTTTATGGAGTCAAATATGTACTGATGTCTATAAATACTGTACATACAAGTTGTGATCTAAATTTTAAGCTACCTGAAGACATGCTGACTTAAAAAATGTTGGGTTTCACACAATCGATTTGAGTTGAGACAACATAACTTTATTAGTTTGTACAAATTTAAGTGGATTAAACATTAAACAGTTAAAGTTATCACCAAAACATTGAAGAGTTGTGTTGTTTCAGCTCATTGTGAACAAGTAGTTGAAACAAATAACAAACAATTTTATAGGGGAGAAAAACATCATTTTCTACAGGTGAACAAGTCATTATAGAACAGGTAAGTAGTACTTTAAGTTGATCTCCCTCTCTTGTATGTAGTGTTGTGTTTATACCATAGTAATCTGGTAGTGTTTGCTTTGGCTTTTTTGGGGGGTTAATAATTTTATTAATATCCCAATTGCAAAAGAAAAATACTGGAAGATCTCTGCAGACTGACGGCATTTCATGCTGGTTAGCCTTATTTAATCTTAAAATGTGAGCAAAATCACCTGTTTTGTCGTCACTTTATATATTACGCTAGAGAATCATTCAAATACTAGCTCTAAAGCGATGTTGGTGAAGTAGAAACAGTTTTTGCTGTTTTTTGACTGTATAAAGTCCATCAACACAGAAAACAAAATATTATTGCTAATATTATTATAAATTTTTTGCTTTTTTGAAGAGTAAAGTGTGATAATAGAATAGCGTTACAATCTAGAGTGTATGATCTAGTAATATATACTACCGGCAGTGTGTGAAATCCTGGTATTGTGTAGAATTCCTAGGAAATGTATTAAACGGTTTTAGGCAAAGTAAGAAATATCAGTTTTTTGTAAAAATTTTGCATACTTTTCCTAGGCATACTATACAATTCGACAAGTATAATTTAGGCAACGTGTCAGAAGAGCAAACGAAAGCCTTTATTGATCATTACGTATTTTAAAATGGAAGAAATAAGAAAATAAAGCATATGATGTTCTTACTGGAAAAACAATAACAGTAGAACTGAGATTGAAGTATTTGTTACAATATTGTCTGTGATGTGGTAGTGGAACCTTGTACTGGCAATATGCTGTCTAACAATAATGTTCGACGCTTTGATCACCATCATCAAACAACAACCCAAGCGCCACCGACAACATTAGGAAAAATGCCAGTTATACTTTGCGGCACATGGACTCAGCAATCATTTCATACTTCAACGTTCGATTTTAGGCACTCTATACATGTCCTAGGCCTTCTATGGAATTTCAGATTTCACAAGTTGCTTGTAACATATACACTCCAAAAATTATTTTGCTGCTTGTTCAAACTACTTATTTAAATTGAGCTGAAACAACACAGTTCTTTGGATTTTTTGGGGGACAACTAAATTGTTTTATGTTCAATCCATTTAGCTTAATCGATTTGTGTTGGGACAACATGAATGAATTGTGTGCAACCCTGCATTGTTTTACAGTGTAGTGTACTGTATGGCAAACAAATCGCAAAAGAACAACCTTTGGGGAATAAAGTGAGTACTAAATGAGGGTGAATCCATGGAGAACAGTAAGAGAGATGATAGAAAGTAACGTTAAACCTCCACCATCAACAACAGAAATAAAGAACAGTTCTTTAAATGGATAAGCTCTTGAACGCTCGGTCGTTGAAGTCACTGTTTACCCTGGAATTAAAATGCATTTTCATTGATTTGATCACAATGGGACAACACTAAATCGAAATGAATGATTTCATGATGTACAGTTGAAGACAAAATTATTAGGCCAAATATTTACAGTAAGTGCTGATTGATGGAGATTTTTTAACAGTTTAATAAACATTTTTAGCTTTAATAACTAGTTTCTAATAACTTTGATTATTATTTTAATTATTTGGTCTTTGCCAGTACGTTATATATTATTTAGTATTTAATTTCTAAAATTGGCTGATATTCTGTAATAACAACATTCTAACAGCCTCTTCCCTCTTTTGTATTACTCCGCCCACATAGAGTGACAGCAGACAAATAAACTCACTACAGTTTGACAAATATTGCAGCTGTTGGCCAACATAATGTACTTTTGAGGCTTTTTTTGGGCAAAAATGTAGTTGTTTAGATTGCAGTTTATTTATAAGGATAGTGCCTATTTTAAACATTAATAATTTTGGAGAGACAACCATCAGCCTATTATACTGATCAGAGCAAAGACGTTTAATGTTCCGCCACAAGATGGCAACAGAGACTGCATAATAATTCCTTTTGGGAGAAAAACAGCATTTTCTACAAGTGAACAAGTCATTATAGAACAGGTAAGTAATACTTTAAGTTGATCTCTCTCTCTTATGTATAGTGTTGTGTTTATACCATAGTAGTCTGGTAGTGTTTGCTTTGCTTTGACTTGTACGGGGATATATGTTGTGATTTCCCAATTGCAACAGAGATATACTGGGAAATCTCTATAGACTGATGGCATGTCATGCTGTTCAGCCTTATAATCTTAAAATGTGAGCAAAATCACCTGTTTTGTCATCACTTAAGACAGTACACTAGAGAATCATTCAAATACTAGCTCTAAAGTGACGTTGGTGAATTAGCAACGGTTTGTGCTGCTCTGACAGCTGCAGATGTGAATGAATGGAGGAAAAAAGTAGTTCCTCGTACAAAAGGATTTTTAAAACTCTCTATGTTCGATTTTCTTTTTTATACAAACAATTTTGTCAATATTTTGTTGTTTTTTTAGTTGCATTTTTTAATGTTTCACAGGAATTTAAATGTAAAGTGTATCTATTTCTAAAGATGTCCGGTGACTAAAACACACACGATATATATATATAAATATATATAAATATATATATATATATATATATATATATATAAATATATATATATATATATATATATATATATATATATATATCCGTTTAAAAAACAGTTTTGACATAAATACAATACATATATTCACCAAGAAATAGATACTGTTACGCAGGTCTGTGTTTTATTTAATTCATTTATTTATTTGTTGCATGTATGTGCTTGTTGCGCTTGAGTTATAGGTGGAGTTTTTCTACCCGGCTTGTCCAGGATTGGATGACGCCCGTGACGTCACTGGGGATTCCAAGTATACAAGGCTGACAGCAATGGTGGCTCAGTCTCTCTCAGTCTCTCGCTCTCCCACAGCTCGGTGGTGGCTTGCGCTTAGGCGGTCTGGCTGGCGGTGCTCCGTCCATCTACACGCCGCTCTATTTAGAGTTTTGTTCATTTTCTTAATGTGATATCTAGTTTGTTTATTTTGATACTTTGCTTTTGTAACAGGTAGTGGATTATTTTTGATAATCACGTTTTGTTATTTATTTAGTTTAGCAAAGGAAAGCAGTGGCTTGGAAGACCTGTTTTTTATTCCTTTCACGGAAGTTGTAGGTAAGATCTGTCCATTTAAAAACAGTATAGTCAGAGACCTGTTTTCCTTAGCTGCCCTACCTGTCTACATGATTTTTGTTAATGTTTTGTCTCTTTTGGAAACATATGATTTATAAAAATTAAAGAGTATTATCGGGACATCAATTTATTAATTCAAATGTCTGTATCTTTTCATATGTTCGGCTCAAACCTTGATTGTTATCATTCGAGCCAGTTTTGAGTTTTGGGCCGTAACAGATTAGATTAATTTTCAAATATATAAAAATATTAATAATATATAAAACAAATACATATTAAATTCTCTTTATTAGTGATCTGATCAATGAAAAAGCATATTAACAGCAGTTGTTAACACCATCTGTGTGTGCTCTCTTAAAAGCATCAGTATAAACCATGAGAGTGAAGAACGAGAGATGTGAAAGAAAAGGAATCAGAGTGGAGGTCTGGTCCAGAGGCGACCGAGTGTCCATCTACTGAACATGGGGAACTTACTCTGGCCTTTGGATAGCATGTCGTCTGGGTTGTCCTGTAGAGCGGTCAGGAAGAGGGAGCAACAAGAAAGACAACAACCACAAGAGTACATGGGTTAACTGAGACACTCTAAGGCCCGGTCCGGCCACCAGACACAGCAGGCAACAAGCGTTCTCCAGCTAAAGTGGGCTTCGATGCCTGCTGTGTCCAATGAAGCAGTGCCCACCTCAGTCCTTATGACCTGCTGCCCTACTCCTGCCCAGTGTTTGTTTACTGGAGTGCTTCTTTCTGTACTTACGCTCCACATCGCTTGTTTCCTGCTCGCTCACATCCTTGTTCTTGTAGAAGGTGAACTTGCGGGAAAAGAGGTTCTTTTTACGCTTGTCATTGAGGGACTGCGGAGGAAGAGAAGTTTGGAGAAGGGCAAAAGAAAAGAAGGGACGGGGAAGAGGACTGTCTAATGTTCATATGGTGAAAATAAATGGCTCTCAGCTTTCTTAAACCTTTGAAGACTTTGCCATTGTAGGTGGTATGACATACATTGGACAAATAACGTCTTATAGACAGCGTTGAAGAGATTGTTCACCTTAAAATGAAAATGGCCATTCTTAAAGTTGACATCAGATTCAATCCTAACTATTTTTTAATATTTCGATTTCAGATCCTGTGAAGCAATGTGCATTTTTATTCGATGTTTGACGTAATCTAAACCAAAATACAAAGAGATGGTGGGACACAGTGTAGCTTCTCCCCTTTTAACAAAAAACAGCCAATAGCGTTTAGTTTTTCTTACAGCTCTGCTAGTGAGAGTGGTTGAGCTCAAGCGCATCAAATGAAAAGGGGGCGGGGCATGTCAGATACTAGTGAGCATTTGATTGTTCAAGATTTGATGTAAAACTGACGTATGAGGTGACGGGCAAAAAATCGTTACTCCATTTAGTGACAAATTGCAAGCTTTGGATGTTTATATTAGGTTTATATCTTCGAAATGCTAAATCTTCAAAAAAAAATTTGTCACACTAGCTTATAAATATCCTTAAAGGTGCTGTATGTAAGTTTTTGACTATACTAAAGCATAAAAATACCATAATATGTTTGCAGAAATTTAAGAAACATGCTAAGTAAACATTATTGTTTATCTGAAAAACAATGCTAAAGTCAGACATTCTGCTATGAAAATGTGTGTTACGTGCCTGAACGTCTGTCTTTGATTTGGTTCTTTTAACCCGCCCAATGCCAGTTTAGCCAATTATATTTCAGCACCCCGGGTTGCCTTGATGGAGAACAGCGTATTTGATCCATTCATTCAAAAAAGCTTTCAAAGCATGCAATGCGACCTCTGGTGGAAAGTAGTAGACTCCGAAACGAGATGCAGATTCAGAGTTCCACATGAGGTTATTAATTAGAAAATAATATAAATATTACAAACGTAAACATTAGGTGAGCAGGTCACATTGTAACCCCATGTCCTAACAACATGCTACATGAGTAGATTTGCTGTGATATGCAATTTGGTTGTTTGCACCAGACGAAATATGACATAACTTTAAATACAGCTATTTAGAAGCACAGAATAGTGCACTCACTGCACTCCAACAAAATGGCGAGGTCTATAACCTAATTAATACACATTAAACCTTTTTACATTATTAAATGTACATGCTGAATCACTGATATGTGGGTGTCATCAATCTGGCAACCTGCGCTTGTGTGTGTTTTGAACCAGGCGTGCAATACCTAGTTGTCAAACTTGCATACTGCACCTTTAAGACCCTAAAGAATCATATCAACTTGTGCTTAAACTGCCATCCAATGTCACCTTTAACCTCAAGGTATAATTTTGCTAAATATAAGACAATAGATTGAAGAATGTTGTATTAGTCGTTAGTCTTCATGTACTAGCAGGCATTCAAATCTTTTTGGCTTAAGACTTTGGGTTTCATTCACTTCCGTTGATATTTAGCTGATGTTAAAACAGCTTGTTATACTGCTTGATGTTGTAAACTGAAATTTTCTAATTATATTATTCAACTTTACGTATAGGGCCAAGCAGTAGCGCAGTAGGCAGTGCTGTCGCCTCACAGCAAGAAGGTCGCTGGTTCGAGCCTCGGCTCAGTTGCTGTTTCTGTGTGGAGTTGGCATTTTCTCCCTGCGTTCGCGTGGGTTTCCTCTGGGTGCTTCCTTCGGTTTCCCTCACAGTCCAAAGTACAGGTGAATTGGCTAGGCTAAATTGTCCGTAGTGTGTGTGAGAATGTGTGTGTGGATGTTTCCCAGAAATGGGTTGCGGTTGGAAGGGCATCCGCTGCGTAAAAACTTGCTGGATAAGTTGGCGGTTCATTCCGCTGTGGCGACCCTGGATTAATAAAGGGACTAAGCCGACAAGAAAATGAATAAATGAACTTTATGTATGGTCATAAACACACTTGTTTATAGAGCAAGTGCTGTGACCGTTTATTATTCGTAGTCATTTCTCCCATAGGCAACTGAGTCGAAATAAGGTCAATATACTATATATAATGAGAAACAAAAAAATTCCAAGCTAGTCACAATGGCTAGGGGTTTACAACATTCTTCAAAATATCTTTCTTTAGTGTTTAACAAAAGAAACAAAGTCAAACAGGTATCTAACAAGTGAGGAGTGGGTGAGTAGATGATGACCAAATTTTCATTTTTGGGTGAACTATCCCTTTGACTCACAGGTCTCAATCTCGATTCCTGGAGGTCCACAACTCTGCACAGTTTTGCTCCAACCCTAACCAAAAACAGCTGATCCAACTAATAAAGGTGTTTAAGACTACTAGAGACTAAGCAGGTTTGAGTTGGAGGTGGTTAAAGCTAAACTGTGCAGAGCTGTAGCCCTCCAGGAATTGAGTTTGAGACCACTGCTTTAACTAAAGGAGTTAAACTTAAAGGAGTTGAGCTCCTCTAAACTTAATAGAGGATGTCACAAATCCAGATTTGGATATGAAATGCATGAAGAACTGAAATGGACAAATAATCGGATTTGAGTCACAGACTCAAGAACGACAGCAGGAAATCTCAACACAAGAGAAGCAGACGGACAGATCTGCATGCAGAGGGTTAGAAGCGCGTTGTGAGTGAGCCAGAAGCATGTCAAGGCCTAGTTCTGCTTTGCTTTACAGCCGCTGAGCCTGCATGGGAATTTATTAAGTCAAACTACACAGTTCTTCTCTTTGGCAGTAGATGCACATCCATTCTTAGGCAGAGATCAGCTAGAAGCCTGGTTTGTTTGAGCATTGGATTACAGAGAGCAAGGCACAGGAGGTGGAAGGAGGAAAATGTGAGGAGGGTTCAGGACAGGAGAGGAGCAGAAAGACGAGCAGTCCGACATCAATGGCAAGCGTATTTGTCCTTCATTTTCCTATCATGCATGTTCGGTTGGACTGTTAGGTAATCTGACTTCTATGCTTCATACATGAGTTACAGATGTATTACAGCACTGTTATATTTGTTACGTAACACACAGTTGAAGGCAAACTGATTAGTCCTCCTTTGAAATGTGAATTATTTCCCAAACATTGATGTTTAATGGAGATGTTTATTTTTAAACAATATTTTTAATTACTCATTTCTAATAACTAATGTCTTTTGTATATGCAATGATGACAGTACATAATATTTTAAGTATAAATTATTTAGTAACACACTAATAGTATTTAGCTTAAAGTGCATTTTAATGGCTTAATTAGGTTTAAATAGACAATTTAGGATTATTAGACGAGTCACTGGACAACAATAAAATAATTAATAATTTCTTAAAGGGGACCTATTATGCAAAAATGGCTTTTATAAGGGGTTTAAACAACAGTTTGTCAATATAACCAGCTTCTAATGGATAAATCTGTATATAATAAAATCTGTTAATTTAATTTTTTTAATAATCAGACTTGATGAAAACAGTCTGCAGAAACACTTTGATTGACATTCTCCTCGTTGTACATGGCATCAGAGGGAAAAGCCCCGCCCATTAGTGCCCATCTCTCCCTCATTAGCATAGCACGTTAGTCCTGCCTTGAATCTGCCACTATGCTGACTCAGGCATTTATAGCTCCGCCCTCTTTTAAAAAGAACGCAATCTCATTTGAATTTAAAGGGACAACGGCACAATAAGGATCAAAGACTAAAAGGGTCAGTTGCACAGAGTTATAAAACATTATTTGTGGGGTATTTTGAACAGAAACTTCACATATACACTCTAGGGACACCAGAGACTTATTTTACATCTTGTAAAAAGGGGCATAATAGGTCAACTTTAAGGGGGCTGATAATATTGACCTTAACAATTATTTAAAACCGCTTTAATTCCAGCCAAATTAAAATAAAGGAGACTTTCCTTAGGAAAAAAAAATATATAAGAGTAAATACTGTGCAAATTTCCTTGCTCTTTCCTTGCTTTGTTAAGAAACAATTTTTTTTTTTTTTTTTTTTTAAATAATTAAAATTTCACAGGAGGGCTAACAATTTTGCCTTGGAATGGAAGGCCTTTTTTTGGGCCAGCAACACTTGCAGCTACTCATGCTGTTAATTTAGACCGGACTATTCATATGGCAGACTGATTAGTAAACATCGTACAGAAGATTTCATTCAACTGAATGAAGCACTGACTGATCAGCAGTATTAAATGGGAGTTAATATCAAATCTAATTTGCAAAACAATTCGAAATGCATTTCAATGTCATGCTACGTTGATAACATACAATAAGTAACATACAAGCTTTGTTCCAATCCCTAGTGAGTTGCCTACTGTAGATCTAGACTTTTTCATGAGGCTAATTATAAGACTGTCCCATGAGGAAAGAAGAATTTGCTACTTTTTAAGATCTTTTTAAGATTTTGAACTCTCTATTCATCAAAGATATGCATCTATGGTTTGTGACCACATTAATAAAAATCAATTAACTAATTCATAAAAAAACTATACTGACTTAAAAATGCACTAAAATAGTAAACTGTATTATTAGGGATTTGCAAGCTCATGTTTTTAAATACTATTGTATGGCTTTTAAAATAACAATACTATAGTTAATAATAGCAATGAGCTCAGAATTTAGAATTTGGCAGAAATAACAATAATTAACAAAAAAAATACACTAATCAGATGTTGACAATAATTCTAAATAATTTTTTTTTTAAATTATATATATATATATATATATATATATATATATATATATATATATATATATATATATATATATATATGTGTATATAATTAATTCATTTTAATACTAAAATATTTAAAATGATACAATCTTGCTTTTTAATAATGATTAATAATATTAAGATTTTAACACTTGTTTTAATCAGAAAATAAGATGGGAAAATAAGATGCATTTTGGACTGCTGACATACCTGGGATAAGCCATATGTGGTTCAGTTATTTTTTTCCCTTTTTTTACTTCATTTGCATACTTTTAATGTTGCGGAATTTGTACTCCACGGTATCAAAAATGGTTTCAAATATCGATATTTTTCAACGCATCGTATCGAAGTTGGAAATTTTAGTATCATGACAACGCTAGCTTCTTGTAACTCAAATTACTGATATCTGAGCTCGGAGGTAGAGGTCTGCATTCCTGAAGGGCCCGACCAGATCTTGTGCGCCGGAATAAATTTCTGAATAAAATGCAACAGCGTCCTGACGTTATTTCTGAGATTTCCTCATTCTTATTGACCAGTGTTTTTTTCTCGTGTTTTTTTTTTTTTTTTTTTTTGCACAGTCTGTGCGCGCATAATCTGCATAATGGTCCACAGAATGGGCTTTTCCAACGTGGGAGAACAAAGAGAAGATGAGCCGTCCTTCAGCTTGCATTAGAAAAGTCAGGCAAGTCTGATTTATGAGAGTCTTTTTTTGAGTCATAGATTCAAATGGAAAAAAAATATGACCCTTTGCGCAACGTAATAATACCTCAAAGTTTTGTCCTTTACCAGTCACAAGACTGGAATCTCGGTTTTAAGGCGGCACTCATACCTTATCACAAAGGGGCAAACAAAACTGACATTTAGCCTACAATCCTTGCAAAACCTACAGTTTTATCTGTTATCTCTTTTGGTAGAACCCAATATAATTGTGAGATTTTGGAAACTAGATCTAAACATAGCAGTTAACGTCGGGTCGGGTAGAAAATTGTTCTAAGCGGGCAGCAAGTGAACAAAGGCTGATTATACATCAGGAGCAGTCAGGTGTGGAATAAAACCTGGCAGGAGCGGGACTAAAAAACTAGTCCTGCGCAGACCTCTACTCGGAGTCATCTGGGACCGACCATCACAGAGTGGAATGTGTACTGTGGTCAGATGAATCAGCATTTCGGGTATTTTTTGCGAGAAATGGATGCTGTGTGCTCCGGATGAACAAGTTCAGTGAAGAGGTGTTCTTAACAGTTGACCACTCATGCGGACGGTATAAGTAGACAGTAAAGCAACTTGCTAGGATTTGGAACACAATATTGTTTATAACAGAAAGTCTATGGATGCATGAAATGCTTCACTCACCCCTTTTTCTCGTGACTTGGAGTTGAATTTAACCGTCTTTAACCTGGCTCTCTCCTTTTTCTCCACTCTTAAGAGAAAACACAAGAACCTTATATTACAATCGAATTAAATAGATTATTAAAGTTTGTCGAGACAAACTTTGAGGCTGGCTTGAGAAAGCCTGTTGGTAATCGTTTATTTAAAAAGGATAGATAGATCAATGTTAAGTCAATGACAGTCACTTGCAATGTAAGTCTATGGGACAGTTGCTAGGGTACAGTATCTGGTTGTTAGGGTGTGGATAGAAAGTTAAAAGGTCATCAGTGATTGGCTGCTGGCTAGACTGAGTTAAATGAGCTCAGTCATTAGTCTGATGCAGAGTTATGAGCTCATAGAGTTTGATCCAATGTAAAGTCAATGACAATCTTTTGAATGGAAGTCTGTGAGACAGTTTCTAGGGTCCCAAAAGCGGTTGCTAGGGCTTGGCCAGAAAGGTAAAAGCTCATCAGTTTTTGGCAGTTAGGTAGTCTGAGGTAAATGGGCCCAGCTAGAAGTTTGTGTGACAGTCTGACGCAGAGTTATGAGGTCATAAAGTTTGGTCCAATGTTAAGTCTATGGGATTTTTTCGACGGTACCGGGAGGTTTTTTGGAAAACTGAAAGTTGGATCAGTTGGAAAAGATATAGCACACCGAGTCAGACCAGTTCGGAGGTCTGGTGTGAGTTTGGTGGTCATAGCTCGAAAGCTCTAGGAGGAGATGGTGTTTGATTTTTAGTCTCAGAAAAAATTAGGATTTCAGTAGTCTGACTTGCTTTCACACATAGATATACACATTAGATGTCGCCTACCCTGTTGTTGTCTATTGGAAGAAATGTGTCAATAGAGCCGACATTTTGGAACAGGGTAGCGCTCCCTTGAAATGAATGCGGGACCAAGGTACAGTGGAGGACTGTGGCCATCCAAAGCCAGAGATTTACACATATACATATATATCTATGATCGGGAGTTTTCCTGGATGTTAGTATGCAATTTTTTTTTTAAATTACGAAAATTTAAATTTTACATTACTTTTCTACATTGATGGATCAGTGATTGCACAGGCATTCCTGCGAAAAGCTTATGCTCGGAAATGTACTATCCACCCCCCCAGTTAAATTTGGTCTAATCCGTGTCCTGAAACACACCTCCTCTCCTGCTTTCACTTCTCATAATGATGGAGGGAACGATTCGCTTGTGAATGAATCCCCCGTTATGAACAACGTTAACAAGCTGACAATAATAGGCTACAAGTTTTTGGCAGTGCAGCATCTCGTTGTCATATTTCTTTTGCATTGTTTGCTGATTTTATTCAACAAAAATAGCATTAGCTGAGTATTTAGTGCGAGTTGGAGCTACTTTGCCTTATGGTGAAGGCAGTAAGTGAATGTATTATCATCAATAACGTGACCTGTTGAACACAAAAGTTCAGAACATAAAAAACGTAAAAAACGTAAAAAGCTTAATCTTACCTATGTAATGTTCTGCCTTTGTGCTTTTTTTTCTTTGTTTGCTCGTTACTACACCCGTAGACCCGTAAAGTTCCGCATCTTCACATAATAATACTATCTTGACTAGTGCGGTTGAATGACACTTGTCCTGGGAGCACTGTACCAATGTGGCGGCGCTATTGACGCATGCTCAGTGTCCCTATGTGATATCTAGTGTATATATCTATGGCTTTCACAAGCCAGCCTAATTAGCTTTGAATTCATACCACACTACTTATTTAAAGCATAAATGACAGCAGCTAGCTTCATGCTAAACAAATGTATTCGACAACCAACAATGCAAACAGTAAGAGATTTATATGTGATTTTTATTTTTTATTAAATCTGCAACAATTTCAAAAACTTTTTTTCACATTGTCATTATGGGGTATTGTGTGTAGAATTCTGAGGAAATAATTTAAATTGATCCATTTATGAATAAGGCTCTAACATAAAGAAATGGAAAAAGTGAAGCGGTATGAATACTTTCCGGATGCACTGTATAAATGTATCTGACGACAATCCAAATATTGAACATTATGAAGCATGAATCCCTCACCTCCTCTTGCTGGGGATAACCCCCATCTCCTCCACCTCTCCTTGAGCTGTGACCTGTCTGGCCTGCCACCACTCGTCATCTGAAGCGTTGACCACATGCAGGATGTCCCCAAATTTGAAGTTCAAGCCCTGACTGGGCAGCCCCGAATCCTTCGTTTTATCATAATCAAACAGTGCTCTGAAAGAACAAAAACCACAAGACAATCACACACTAGCTTGGCCTTCATCTGTGCATGTAATAAAACCACATCTACTCCATGTCAGTGTGTGAGTGAACTGTAAAGGTAAGATATCATTTACATGCAAGTTAAATATACAGATAAAAACACAAATGTATTTGTATGAGTGTGTTTTTGTTTCTTTTTGAAATCTTACATTATTTATTTGTGTATATTGGATTTATGATAACTCCCAATAATTATAACTGAGGCTGTTGGGGAGAGGTAGGAAGTAGGCTTGGGCGTAATTTGTTAATATGGTATACCGCGGGATATACAAATAGCAACGGTGTCAGTTTTAATACCGTTATACCGTCATAAAAAACAATGCACTTAAATAGGAGAAAAGTATTCATTAATAAATATTATTTATTTAATGCCTAAAAATGTGTATGCGTGATTGTCATCACGGGACAGTGTGGAGGAGAGAGAGATGAGGTAAGGTAGCAAGTCGCGCTCCAAGTGACTCGGTCTCGAAAAAGGACACAACCTTTGGAGTTTGCCAGTATTTCCGGTTTCGAGAAGGGAGATGTGGTAAATACGAACTAGAGGTCTGCATTCCTGCTGATGTACCGCGGGAGCTGCGAGACCCGACCAGATTTCTTGCGGAACGGGAATAAATTTTTGAATAAAGCGCGGGAGTGGTCGGTAAATCTGGTTTAATATGAACGACAGCGGGCACGCGGTCTAACAATTTCGCTCACGAGCAAGTGAGCATGTGCACATCCGCGTGGATGCTGTTTATATGTGTGTGTGAATGAGAGAGAGCGTCCCGTGCAGATCTCTAATACGAAAAAGACAAACAGCTGACCGCAAACCTAAGGTCGCATATTCCAGTGTTTCTCAACTGGTGGGTTGCGACCCAAAAGTGGGTCACGGGAACATTTTCAGTGGGTCGCGGAGTGTGTGCTCAAAAAAAAAACAATAATTTTTAATTTATTATTATAATTCATTTTTACTTATTTTGAAATGCGTGCACGACAACCCTCCCGTTTGACAGGTGAAATTTCATATTATTATTGCAACAAATATGTCGAAGCGCAAGTACGAACTCGAACATGTAAAGTGTAGGTTTACATATATTGACAACAAAAAAGACTTAAAGCCTCAGTGTGTCATAAGTAGTGAGGTGCTCTCACAAGAGAGCATGAAACCTTCTAAATTAAAACGACATTTAGAAACCAGACAACATGTTTTATTAGCCCCTTTCACACATACAGACCTTTCCGGAAAATTGCCGGCAATTTTCCGGAAAGGTTGTATGTGTGAACAGGTCCTTTTTGAAAATACCGGTTAATTCGTTCTGGCTATTTTCCGGAAAGAGAAGTTGTAACATTACCGGCAATTTGCCGGAATGCTGCGCTGTGTGAACGCAGAAGGAAGATTCCCGTAATAAGCGCGTGCACGTCTAGAACGTGCTGACGTGAGACGTCTGCTTTAGCCAATCACAACAGTCAGACGCATTTACGTCCGCGCGGTTTGTGAGGATAAAAGCCTTTGAATATTTAGTCAGATCACGTTTATATGTTCTTCTTAATGCCAACTGTGTAAATAATCATCGATGAGATGCTTATGATAAGCCGTTGTTTGTTTACGTCCGTGTGCCTGTGAAACAGCCTGTGAGCGCCTGCACACGCACATATTATGAACATCTCGACATGCGAAAGTGATCCTGCGAAAGTTGTTCACAATATTGATCATCCACAGAGTTTGTAATGTAGTCAAATGTTTACAAATACAAGCGCAGCCGTTTAAAGCTCATTTGTGGTGAATGATGTCAGAATTTACCGGTATTTTGGAATGGATGTGTGAATGCTCTTTTCCGGAAAATTTCCGTAACGTCCTCGCCTGTGTGAACAGCGCTTTTTTGAATATACCGGTAAAGTCGTTCCGGAAATTTTCCGGATATTTACCGGTATCACTGTGTGAAAGGGGCAATTAACTGCTTAGTTTAGTTCATGATAACTGATCCTTTCCTTAACCTAACCACTTGTCTACAGTATTTGTTGTTTTTATTTTGTAATATTTCTATAATTTGATACATTTTGTTAAATGACAGCAATAAAATATTGTTTATTTGCAAGTCTTGGTGATTTTCTTATGATTTATCTGTCACTACTTGTGCATGTTAACAAATAAATACAAATTAATTATAATTCCTAAAATTGTATTATAGTTCCTAAAAATTTGGGTCGCGGCTTGATGACCATGTAAAAATGTAGGTCCCATGGCCAAACCAGTTGAGAACCCCTGGCATATACGGTCTTTAGTTTCTGATTGTTTAGGCACAAGCCAACAGTTTGGTGACGCTGTCTGAGTTTACATCATATTTTTTTTATTATGCATGTTAATACCGGATACCGAGGTAAAATAGGGAGGATGTTTGATGGTATCAACATTTGGATACCGCTCAAGCCTAGTAGGAAGAGTTAAAAGATCCTAAACTGATCTTGTTGAATCATTGAAGGAAAATAAACAGTATGAATCATAAAAACAACAGAAATTTCAAGCATCCTTTCTTTCCTCTGAAACTGAATTTTGTTTCACATGCAAGAAAAAATGGGGACACACCGAAAATAAAACTATTGGCTGAAACTGAAACCAAAAATTTCTGGATTACGAATTATGAATATTCAAAGAAATAAAAGCTTTTTAATAATTATTATGAATTGCTTTAAATATAGCAGCTTTAAGGATTTATCAGTTCTTTCAGTCTAATTTGGACATTTAAATGAAATTGTTTAAATAAAAACTTAATTTCATTTCAAGCTCTTTCAAGAACCTGTGTTTGTTTTTAAGTACTTTCCAGGGCTTCCAGGGCAAGTACTGTCAAGAAGCACAAGAACCCTGTGTGTATATCTGTCCAGTACCTGACATAAAGTGATCTCTTCTGACTGGTCCTCAAGGATCCTGAGCCTGAACTGATGCTGCTGTTCATCATCTGCTCTCGGAGGTCATGGATCTTGGCTTCAAATCGGCTGTACTCTGAAACGCAAGGCAACAAAAATCAATACCAGCCATTTCTCTGAATCTTCCTGGTTTTCCATTTATATTTATGCATTAATCAGATATTCCTATTTACGGCAGTTTACAATAGAGTAACAAAAAAGCTGGTAAATTTACTCGTAATGCCTTTACTTGTGTGAAAACAAAACAAAACAGTGAAGTGCTTATATATGGAGAAAAAACAATTAATATTTTACCAATATTCAAACAGAGTTGTATAGATGACATTTTATGACCAACATGTCTATTTTATTGTAGGATATCTACTGTTACTGTACACTGCAGACTTACACTCACCGGCCACTTTATTAGGTACACCTGTCCAACTGCCAATCACATGGCAGCAACTCAATGCATTTAGGCATGTAGACATGGTCAAAACGATCTGCTGCAGTTTAAACCGAGCATCAGAATGGGGTAGAAAGCGGATTTAGGCGTCTTTGAGCGTGGCATGGTTGTTGATGCCAGACGGGTTGGTCTGAGTATTTCACAAACTGCTGATCTACTTCGATTTTCACGCACAACCATCTCTAGGGTTTACAGAGAATGGTCCAAAAAAAGAAAATATCAAGTAAGCGGCATTTCTGTGAGTGCAAACGCCTTGTTGATGCAAGTGGTCAGAAGAGAATGGCCAGACTGATTCCAGCTGATAGAAAGGCAACTGTAACTCAAATAACCACTCGTTACAATCGAGGTCTGCAGAAGAGCATCTCTGAATGCACAACACGTCCAACCTTGAGGCAGATGGGCTACAGCAGCAGAAGACCACATCGGCTGCCACTCCTGTCAGCTAAGAACAGGAAATTGAGGCTACAATTCACACAGGCTCACTAAAATTGAACAGTAGAAGATTGGAAAAGCGTTGCCTGGTCTGATGAGTCTCGATTTCTAGTTTCTATTTCTATAAATAGTTCTTAACAATAATAAAAAAAAAGCTTGTGGAAATGTTTAACACTTGAAAAATAAAGTAAATAAAGTAATTATAAAAATAAAGTATTATAATTACTCAATTCTCACAACAGATTTCAGATTTCAGTTTTATTTTATTTTATTTTAAATTGAATAGTGTTTAAATCCATGTGGGGTGACACACTGGCTCAGTGGTTAGCACTGTCTCCTCACAGCAAGAACGTTGCTGGTATGAGTCCCGGCTGGGTCAGTTGTCATTTCTGTATGGAGTTTGCATGTTCTCCCCATGTTGGCGTGTGTTTCCTCAGGGTGCTCCGGCTTCCCCCACAGTCCAAACACATGTGCCATAGGTGAATTGAATAAGCTAAATTGGCCACAGTGTATAAGTGTGGATCAGTGTGTTTCCCAGTACTGGGTTGCAGCTGGAAGGGTATCAGCTGTGTAAAAACATATGCTGGAATAGTTGGCGATTCATACTGCGGTGGTGACCCCTAATAAATAAGGCACTATTTGAAGGAAAATAATGAATGGATAAATCAATAGGTTAACTTATTTACTAATTAAGCGCTAAATACTGGTCTGGCAAGTGTGATACAGTGCTTTGGCCATTTTCACAGGTGTGTGAAACGTGGAACTAGACATTAAACTTTTTTTTCAAAATGCAGAGGACAAACTTTTCAGTTTTTGACTTCACTGTTATTGTGTAAACGTAGTCTGAGAGATTTAGTTTGATTATTTATTGCCACATCAGAAGCTTAAAGTTATTACGCCACTGAGAGTCTCACCTTCTGGTCTGTACTGGGCCACGATGGTGACTGTTTGTCCGGCGTTTTTCAGGGCCGCTGCGGCCTGTTCATGAGTTGCACCACGGAGGTCAATTCCATTCACCTATGAAAGATATACAGATGAAGTCAGAACTATTAGCCCCCCCCCTGTATATGTTTTCCCCAATTTCCCAATTTTAACAGAAAGGCCTCTATTTTGACGATCTAGGTGCAAAGTGCAAAGCGCAGGGTGCAAAATCATTAAGGACGTGTCAGAATCCACCTTTGCTATTGTAAGGATGGAAAATGGCGCATGGTGTAACAGGGTTGAGCTTATTCTCTTAATGAGTTACAGGTGTGTTTTAAGAATAAACCAATCAGAGTCTCATTTCCCATTCCCGTTAAGAGCCCGTTGCGTCACGCCATAGTGCATTTGCTATTTACATGGCGGACTTTGTAAGTGGAAAAACTGAACTCTTCACTAGAGAGAAAACAATTAAGCAGAGCATCCTCAGCGCGAGAATGAGAGATGAGCCTCCTCAATCTTTACTTTCACTCTCATGGATAGGGAAACGTGTTTCCTCCCACCTTCGATGCAACACCACCTTCCTCAGCAGGGCTTGACATTGATTTGTGCTCACAAGCCACAGTGGCTAGTAGTTTTCCAAAGTGGCATTTGCCATCTACATGCATTTGGCAGGTTGGCAAGTGTTAAAGTCAAGCCCTGGTGGTCAGTATGGACAGATGAGATGTCAGGGAAATACTCACAGACACCAGGCGGTCTCCTTTCCTCAGCTCTCCGCACAGGTCTGCGGGGCCTCCAGCCAGAATGAAGGAAATAAATATACCTTCGCCATCCTCTCCACCCACTATGTTGAAGCCCAGACCTGTAGTGCCTCGATGCAACACCACCTTCCTGGGTTCCCTGAATAAGCAGAAAAAATAAAAAATAATAAAGTATGTCCTTATATGCTCAAATAAAAACTCTCAGGGGACGTATTTCCGTCATTGTACAGTGCTTATGAACGCACTCTATACTGGCACTGACAAGAAGAAACTCTTACATTAAGTCATTATTTTCATTTTATGTGCACTCAAACGTATTCCCATAGCTTCATGATGTTCAGATTAAACCACGGAAGGCATATTGTATGTTTTGAGAACGTTTGTTTATTTGTTTTGGTATTTTTGTGGACATCTTTTGGCACATTGCTGTCTATGGAGGATGAGAGAGCTCTAGGATTTCATCTAAAATATCTTCACTTGTGTTTTGAAGATGAATGAAGGCCTCAGGGGTTTAAGTAAGAGTAATTAATAGCAGAATTCAGATTTTTAGGTGAACTAACACAAAGTTTAAAAAAAGGATCATGGTTGAATGACTATGGGATAATGTGGATCCCCAATGTCCAAATTAGTTGAGAACATTCATTCATTCATTTTCTTTTCGGCTTAATCCCTTTATTAATCCGGGGTCGCCACAGCGGAATTAATCGCCAATTTATCCAGCATATGTTTTAACCAATGACTGTAAAAAAATATGGACGACGCGACAGCCCCTTTTCCCATTGAACGCCTTGAGGGCAAAACGCCTGCTTGACGGGCACAAACTGTCGCAAAAGACTGCTGAAATTGGAGCCTTGACATGCGCAGAAGGACTGTCTGATGGAGCCAGAGGAGGAGCCGCGAAAATGAGCGGAGTCGAGCTTCCAACCAAACGCTTTATGTAAAATCAACCACGCCCCCCGAACTTCTCAGCATGCGTTTGCTGTCATATCAACACAAATGGATGTAATAACGTTAACAATTATGAGGGTTTTATATATTCAATCGCGCCAGCTCCGGGCCGCGGCGCATAACATACTCGTGGCGTCGCGGGCTGATTCTGGCTCGCATGCGGCAGCGCCGGCTCGCTCAGCCGCCGCATCTGGCTCGATTGACTCGGGCTGGAATCGGGCAGTGAGTCCAGGCATCCGGAGTAGGTCCAGCAGAGGTAGTCAGTCTGAGCTCTGAGGGGTAAGTCTCCGGCAGGCGAGAATCTAGCTGGAACTGGCCCGAGTGTATTTTGCTATCTGGGTGGCTAGGCGTACGTGTATCAGCAAACTAATAAAGCCTGAAAAAAGCCCTGACCTTAGCGAATAAACAGTGTTCCACCAGGATCATGTATGTCAGAAACTATAGTTTACTGCTGAACTCATTTTATCATGGTAAAATAACACAGAAATCAAATAATAACATTTCAGTCTCCTGCCGAAGCTCAGACGCGCTGCTTTGAGAAAACTGTCAATCACAGCTGTCAATCACGATGACACGCCCAGCAATAAATTACTGCTAAAAACAAACTGTTTACAAATATGAAGATCTGCACCTATTTCAGCACAATAACCAGTGCCTTAATCGACCAGAACCATCTTTGGGACATTTTATTGCAAGTGTAATAATTTTTTTTTATTTGGGCTTTAATCTCCTTCATTAACACGGAGGAGGCGGGCTTTATGACTTGTACTGCAGCCAGCCCCCAGGGGGCGATCTAACGGCCGAGACCTTCACTCAAACGCAGGCTTGAGGCACACTTGGTTTTAACGCAGCAGATGCTCTTCCAGCTGCAACCCATCTCTGAAAAAACATCCGTACACACTCATTCACACTCATACATATGGACAATTTAGCTTAGCCAATTCACCTATACCACATGTCTTTGGACTATGGGGGAAACCGGAGCACCTGGAGGTGCTGTAATAAAACACAAGCATAATACATCTGCTTTTAAGCTGTCCAGAATAACCTACATTCATAATGCATTACTTCACAAAATGCAGTCTAAGCTGACATAGTTTTCTGTGATAATTAGTGTTATGCCAAGTGTTCAGGTTCAGTGTATAGTGCATAACTGTCCTGCAGGAGGCACTGCTGGTTTAAGTCTAAAGCACACACACTACAAAGCAGCCCTGTGGCTGTTACAACACTGATACAGTAAAGTCAAACACCACTTTATCACATCAGCCTCTCGCTATTAAACAGAACATCATTCTGATAATCACGTGACTCTTTTGGGCCACTTTGTGATGCATTGAATTGGAAATCTGCGCACCTAAATGGTCAGATTAAGAGAATCATTTGTTCGGCTGGATTAGAACAATCTTGCTTATTCATTTTCTGGCGAGCCGGCTAAGAGGCTTGATGATGCGCAGAGGTTTTTATGAGGAAAAAAAATATGAACCAGCGACATGACGTGGATGGGCTAAATTTGGAGCTTATCAAATGGCTAAATCGCCAATGACGTGTAGTTTTAGCTCAGGTTTTGCAGTGTCTCCTTTTTTACATCCCAACATTTAAATTTTTTAAATGTTTTTTAAACATTTAAAGATTTCTAAATGTGAAATGAACATGACTTTTCTACTGAAAAGTTGTTCACACAGCTCCCTCAGTGAACACTACAGCTTTGACCATGTGACCTGAGTACAAGTAAAAGCCAATTAAAAACTTTATACTACACAGAAGTTCAGAGAGCATCTCATTTACTCATAATATCATCCTGAACATCGCAGGTGGGCATTAGAGCAATGACCTGCTCTGGCATCACATGATGATTTATGTGAAAAGTCCAACCTAGAATCATTCTGAAAATGTAGCCCTATATACATTTCTGGAGAACGCCAAATACATACCAGGAGGTAAATTTTTTGCAGTTTTTATTTTCGCGAATCCACAAGAGGGCACTGTTTATGCGTTTTGAGATCTCAAATTTCGAAATATATCCAGCTGCAGACCCACTCACATTTCAGTGCACACAATCAAGGCAGGGGCGAACTATTTATGGCTAATGACGAATCAGTCTTCTTTTATTTTTAAATGTTTTAATGATGACTAACTCTTTAGGTGCATTATCGCCACCTGCCGTATTTCACAAAGATGATCAAGATCGTCCGTGACTGTGGGCAGTTTAGGGTTTCCAATTTCAGTCATTATTTCATTATTATATCGTAACGATCATTTTAACATTTGTGCAGTTTTGGTACTCATATTACGTAAATGAAAATAATTAGTTGAAACACTAACTACTATTATTTCATTAAGCAAAAAATTATATTTAATCACTGGAGTAAAATATTAATATATATTTGTTAATTGTAAAAAGATGTATTATGGCCTATATATATTTACGTCCGATTCACATAGGGCTTTAGTGTCAACGCTTGACTAAGGACGTGTCTGAAGTTGGGGCTATTACGATCATCATAGCAGCGTCAGCCAATGAAATTAGTCCGCAATCGGCTACTGTCTGAGCTGGTGTATTTGCATACAGCGATCTGATTGGCTGACGCTTCCATTGGTGCTGGAAAAGTTGAGAAAGTCCCAACTTCTGCAGCAAGCAACGCCGCTGAAGCAGCGCAGACGGACCCACAATTCAGTTCGGCAAGGCTTGACGTCACCCATTCAAAGTGTATAGGAAGCGTTGAAGCTGACGCCCCGTGTGAATGTGCTGTAACTTATATATGCTGTACATATTTCTGAAAAATGTTTCAGCAAAGCCAGCAAATCTGCTATGCTGACTGTCAGATAAATAACGACTGATTGAAAATTGTTCAGTGTATTTTATTGAATGGCGATCGGAAACAACGTTCCCCATTCACCCGTCTTGATCGCCATATTTGTGAAACAGCAGACCAAACCGATTGAACAACCGGCCGATAGCCCCAACCACTCCTTCCCTAAGCCCAACCTATAACGTTTTAAAAAGCACCGATTGACCAGCGCCCACCCACTTCTCTAAACCCAATCGACAGTGTTCTGAAAAGCAATACAGAAAACGAAAAGCCTGATTCTTGACACATTTTCAGACTTTACCACATTATTTACTTGTTTATTTATTTTTTGGGTTTTGTTTTTGTGTAACCGCTTTCTAGAACTGTTCTTCACTGGACTCAAACCTCAACTCCATCAACTTACATGGCGAGCCACTGGACAAACTTGTAACAGGGGGAAAAGCCATCCATACGGAGGTAAGCGGTCAGCTGGTAAGCACAAAAAGAACGGCATCATACTGCTCCGTAGAATTCGTTTTAAAGGCAAAATGCAGCTACAAAATTCGCAATCTCCAAAAATGTATATAGGGCTACGTTTTCAGAATGAGCCTATGTTTGAAACGTCTGTATGTGTAAAAGGGGCAAATATCACTAATATTACAGGGGCTTATATATGGTGCAGGCCTAATCTGGAAACAATACCTTGTGACATCATCGTCCCCCACTGTGGTCTTCGGGGTTGGGGAGAAGCGTCCAGAATGCACCGGAGGCAGCGGCTGGCTGAGATAACTCGGAGGACTGATATGGTTTTCCATGTGTTGGGAATAGGCTGTGAAAGACAAGTGGAAGATAGATTCAAAAATTATAAACTGCTTTACCTTTCCCCACACAGGTCTCCAAATGTTCACCAAATCCTCTAGAATGGTAAAATATTATGTTATTCAAAAGAGAATGTGTTTGGATCCCAAAGGGAAGCGAACAGACGCTGATGGTAAATGAAACTCTAGGCTTAGCTTTTAGCACCCGGGCCTCCACTGCAGCTCCATTTACACACTTCTCTATGTGGGGGGGCGAGACCTGGGGGTCAGAGTGAAACTGATCCTCAGCTATCCTCATCTCGCCTGTCTTTGTCTCTCATTTGAAGCAGACGTTAGCTGAGCTCATATCAAAAGACTGCTATAGGTGTATACTTATAGTTCAAGTCAGAATTATTAGCCCACCTCTACATTCATTTGAAGATTTTCTCAAATGCTGAAAAAAGCTTTTTTTGTATGATGTCAGCATCTGCCATTAGCAGTTAATGGTGATGCATGCTTTTAATGCAGAGTAGAATAAAAATGCTTGAATATGATAATATATGATGAGTAATTTTGATAAGCAAGCTAGCAAAAGGTCTTATATTTAAAATGTCCATTTCATGACAGAATAACTTAATAGATTTGACATGTGATTAGGGACCACATTGTAAAATAAAGTAAAGTAAAGTAAAGTAAAGTAAAGTAAAGAAAAATAAAAGCATCTACTTTAAAAAAAATACACTTAAATAAAATTGAAATAAAATACACTAAAATAAAATTAAAACAAAAGTACCTTTTTTTATAAAAAATAAATAAAAATAAATAAAATAAAAGCACCTACTTTTATAAAAAATGATTAAATAAATAACTTACTTTTATAAAAATAAAAAGTGCCTACTTTTATAAGAATAAAATAAAATAAAAAAATAAGTAAAATAAAAGCACCTACTTTTATAAAAAATAAAATAAATAAAGCACCTAATTTGTTAAAAATAAAATAAAAGCAACTACTTTTATAAAAACAAAATTAAATAAATGTACCTACTTTCATGAAAGCAAAATTAAATAAAAGCACCTACACTTTTATAATAATTCAATTAAATTAAAGCACCCACTTTTATAAATATTTAATTAAAATAAATAAAACCACCTACTTTTATTAAATGTAAAGAAAAATAAGTTAAATTAAATAACACCTACTTTTTTCTCAAATGTTAATAAATTAAAGTAAATTAACTAAAAGCACCTATATTTATTAAAAATAAATACATAAAAGCACATACTTTTATAAAAATCTAATTAAATTAAAAATTAAATGTAATTAAATTTAATTAAATAAACATAAATAAAAAGCACCAACTTTTATAAAAAAAAAATTAAATAAAAGAACTTACTTTTATAAAAACAAAATTTTAAATAAAAGCACCTACTTTTATAAAAAAAAAAAAAAAAACATTAAATTAAATTAAATTAAAATACATAAAATAAAAAAGCACCTATTTTTATAAAAATAAAAAAAATTAAAATAAATAAAAGAACCTACTTTTAGTAAATGGATAAAATATTCATTTTCAAAATGGGGTTCTTGAGCACTCTGATGGTTGTGAGACATATTTACCAATAGCAAAGGTGCAGTTTTCAATCCTATAGTACTTCACTCAAGCATAACACAATGAGAAGCTGCAAAACTTTGCTTTACCCTCAGGAAGAGCAGAGCACAACAGAGTATATATATATATATATATATATATATATATAAAGTAAAAAAAGCCGACAGGTGGTAAAACGCATGCTTTATGGCAATCTATGTGTACAAAAATAAAATCTACTGACACAAAGGCTCCCTCTCTGCAACACACTATCCAAAATTAGGCAGATCAGTGAGCTAAAGAAAAAGCGCTTGCGCACCATTTACAAGCTATAAACAGTGTTGCTTCCATTTCGAATCAGGCTCCTGAATGATGGCGCACACTTAACACAATTATTTCTCATTCATTAAGTCAGGTTTGCTCATGCTTACTTGTCTGCATTAGGATATTGCTGCTTGGATTAGCAATACAGACTTGACCATGTGATGCAGGCCATGATTGAATCTGTGATTTGTCTTTTAAGTCAAGCAAAGCAAAGCATCCTTGTCTTTTTTTTTCTTCTATGGATGGGTCAGACTGTGTTTTTTTTCTTTCTTAAGGGTCCAGTGAAGTGTAAAATGTCCATTTTTATTCATAATTTGACGTAAAAACAAGAGTAGCTCATCCCCTTATTAAAAAACAGCCAATGGCATTTTATCACAGCAATTTCAGTAAGAGTGGTTGAGATCAGGCGCATCAATTAAAAAGCAATTGAGAATTCTCTAGCACCTTACATTTAGAGAGACTTAGGCCCAATCCCAATTCCACCCCTTAGCCCTTCCCCTTCCCCAATTCTCTTTAGTCTGAAGGTGTGGGCTAAGGGGAAGGCCTAGATAGCCCTTAAAACAGAGATTTTTCAGGACCACCCTCAAAACTAAGAGGTACGAAATTTCCCAGAATACACCAGCTACAACAGCTATGTTTCTAACCACCTTTTTTTTTGCGCATTTTGCATATGCGTATACAAAAACGGTAAATGGAAACGTCATGATGCGCATAAATTTTGAAAGTGCGCACTTTGACATGTTGGACGGAAACGCAGCTTTATTCGCACGTCTTTTATGCGATAATCCAGTTTTACATAAACATAGCTCATGTCAGCATGGCTGCACATGGAAGTCAGGAGATGCACAAATTAGTAATTTTTTTGTCATTATTACGCATTTTTATGACAAATAATCATATGTTTTCATATATTCAGAACCGCCTTCGTATTTTTTGGTCATCCTTTAAAAAAAAACCCTAAAATAAAAACAGTATTTTCTTCAATACGCTCAGAAATATATTTAAAAAAAAAAAGATTTACATTTACAACTTGATTTTAGGTTATATTTGTTCTATTTTCATTCAGACTGAAAGTAGTTTGTTTTAATACATGAATAATAGTATATTCTTTTAAATACTTTCTCATAATACTTTAGTGTACTAAGTGTCATGTTTAAAGGGGACCTACTATGCCTCTTTTTAGAAAATGTTAATTAATTTTCTCATGTCCCTAGAGTGTGTATGTGAAGTTTCAGCTCGAAATATTACACAAATAATGTTTTATAGCTCTTTAAACGGACCCTTTTAGGCTTTAATTTTGGTGACTGTCACTTTAAATTTAAATGAGATTGTGCTCTATTTAAAAGAGGGCGGAGCTACAAATGCATGTATCAGCATAGTGGCAGATTTAGAAACAAGACTAATCATCCTATGCTACTGAGAGAGAGATGGTCATTTATGGGCGGGGCTTTCCTCCTCTGATGACACGTACAAACAGGAGAATGTCAATCAAAGTGTTTCTGCAGACTGTTTTTATCAAGTGTGATTATAAACAATTAAATTATTTAATTTTTACCATTAGAAACAGCTTACATTCACAGACTGTCGCCACACAAGTGTGCTTAAACCCCTTATAAAAGTGATTTTTGCATAATAGGTCCCCTTTAAGGGCAGATAGGGGGAAGGAGGAGTATTTTTGAAGCATTGCATTTAGGTACAGCGTAGGCTTTATTGGCTGCGGGGGCGTCACGTTCAGACAAGAGCAATCGATGGTAGTTTAGTTCTCTCCTCTGTGGCCTATTAGTGCTCCTGCTGGCAGGGCTATGAACAGAGCACCGATCAATACGCTCACTGCTGGACACACACAACACAACAGTGTGTACGAGTATGACACTATCTCCTTTTCCCCCATCCTGCACTTTAGCTTGTACAAATGCAGCAATGCAGTGGGATGTTTCCATTGAGTGCGGGCTGGGAGATGTTTTGAGTTGTAATAATGTAAAGCGTAGTCATCTACCTCGTTCTTCATATACAGCAAACGTGCTATTCCTAGAAACTACGGATGCATGGTATTATCAGAACGCTCAATAAATTGGTCAATAACGGCTTAATTTGTAAACATCAGCATCAGTTCGATTAGAAAAATTGTGCTTGCTCGTAATTACGATGTTGATGATGAGCCTGCAGTGACTTAATTGTGTACCTGGAGTGCTTTGAGTTAGCTGAGGTCAACAAATCTGCTCATTCCTGAGGTAAACTTTTACCTGTACTATGATTTAGATTCAGTTTTTGATTGCTGAAAACTTACAATTGAAAATGCAAGTGTGGAGAAAAAGGAATTTATTTTTATTACTTTTGTGTCTTCATTTTTATTAGAAAAATGTTTAGACTAACAACAGATTAATCAATCTTTTTTCTTTTGTATGATACCATATATTGACCAGGCACACTTCTTTTTTTTTACTGTGCTGCATGCTTTTTAGAAGGAACTGCTGACAAGAGGGAAGTAGCAGAATAAGAATAAATATGGTGTGGGGGCCCTTGTTCCAGACTGCTGTTTAATAAGAAGTCTAGACATGTCACAAGGAGCATGATGCTTGTACAAGTTGTGAAATATATTGAAGATGCACTTAATTGTTCAGTCCTGGTATGCAGAGAAGGGTTGCAGAAAAGAGGAAGTATGTCTGGGTGCAACACCTTTTAATATCAGTTGTGTAAATAAGCTGGAGTCAGGGAAATGTACGTTAGTTGCAAATCTCTTTAATGTAATTCTTGTATTTTATTGGAGTAATGTAACCCAGAAGTCTGTCATCAAATTATTAATTTGTATCTAATAAATGACTAAAATTTTTGGCATTGAAGAAAACCCTTTCCAGACCTTTTCTTATTGAACATGCATGGAATTGCTTTGACATTCCAACACAAGTACAGAATAACTGCACGGTATCCTTCAGCAAGTTTTTTATTAATTTAAGTAATAGCCATTAGGGATGAGACGGTACCTAAAAAAACCTAAACCGTTCGACTCTCCTGTCCAATTTCGGTACATATGTGTATTGTTCGATTCACTGTTTTTTGAGATTTTTTTTTAGCTTGTGCAAACTTGTATTTTCCACACTGGTTGCATCTTCATCATCCTGCTAATGTAGATGTTGAACTGAAGCAGCTGATAATTATTTACAATAGCGAAGGGCAGAGGGTTGCTGAAGAACTACAGAGATTTCAGCTGCTGTCTGGGCTTTCCCTTCCTACACCTCCCTTTCTTCATATGTTCAATATTTTTTCTCTGCGTCATTTCATTTTATTACGCATAACTTCATTTGTAAAGTAAATAATTTAGTTTGAATATATGTTTTTTTTTTGTTGCCAACATCCTGTAAAATTTCAAGTCACCTGGTAAACTGGTGACGTGTTCAATACTTATTTCCCTCACTGTATATGACTGTATATGGTGCGTAGGCCCTATTGGAATTGCTCCGTTTCATATTCTTCTTCTTCTCTAAAATTAATCGCGATTTTGAGGGTCTAAACATGCCAGAAAACTCTCGAAACTTTGCACACTCCCCAGTTGTGAAAATTGACATTTGTTATACGTTTCAGAAGTGGGTGTGGCAAATTGGCTCAACAGAGTCACCTGTGCACTTTTGTTGGAGTGGCCCCCGAGCTACATTTCGCGTACACATATGAAAAGCGGCACATACATCAAACATGCCAACATCTACAAGAACAGTCTCTTGAAGCAAAATCTCAAACCCACCAGAAGGTCAGATATTTTTAACTTCTTCTGCCAAAAAATGCAGTTTTTGCCATTTCCGGGCGTTGTATTTTAACAAACTCCTAGGGATTTTATCCAATCGTCAACTAAAGGCCTTGGCGATGTTAAATTGCAAAGATTTAGAGTTTTCTTCGAAGGGTGTGTCTGTGGCAGCCTCACAAACTTTGATGCTTTGCCACGAAGCTCAGGTTATAACTCAGGCGTACGTTGTATGATCTGCTTCAAAATCCACACGTTTATTAACAGTCCTGATCTGAATACGTTTACACACCAATATCCAGTTACTGTCATAGCGCCACCTGATGGCAACAGTATTACACTCTAACAAACTTCTCTTAGAAATTTGATTGTTTCAGCACCAAGTTTGGGTGGTGTTATCTGAAAGCTCTAGCGATGATATATTGTAAAAATCTAACGTTTTCGTGGAAAGGCGCGTCAGTGGCGGCCTGACAAACCTCATTGTTTCGCCATGGAAAAGCATGTTGTTATAAGTCAGGCTTACTATGTCCAGTCTGCCCCAAATTCCACACCTTTGATTATATTACTATACTAAAGACATCTACATGCGAATATTCATTTACAGTCAAAGCGCCACCTGCTGACAGAAGTATGAATTAAACAAATAACCAACATTGTCAGGTTTTTTATATTACTTTTATACTTTAATTATTATTGTTCATTGTGCTCTGTCATCCTAAGGTCACCGGTGAGTCTGTGTGCGAGGTCCTTTTCATCACTGCTTGCAGCTTTAAATGACTTTTGTTGTTTGTTCAAACTACTTATTTAAAGTGAGTTGAAAAGACACAATTTTTACGTTTGTTTTGGAGAGAAAACTCAATTGCTTTATGTTCAATTGATGTTCAAGCTAACTTAATCGATTTGTATTGGGACAACATGAAGGAATTGTGTGTGCATTTTTTATAGTGTAGTCATCTCTTCCATAGACAATTAAATCGGACGTACTAAAAAAATCTAATTAAAGAAATTACCTTTGCATTGCAGAAAAATAGCTTGCCAAATAAAATGCTTTCATTGAATCTATGTGGGTGGCACGGTGGCTCAGTGGTTAGCACTGTCCCCTCACAGCAAGAAGGTCGCTGATTCAAATCCCAGTTGGGTCAGTTGGCATTTCTGTGTGGATTTTGCATGTTCTTCCTGTCTTTTCCTCTAGGAAAGACATGCGCTATAGGTATGAGTGTGTGTGAGTATGGGTGTTTCGCTGCTTAAAACATATGCTGGAATAGTTGGCAGTTCATTCCACTGTGGCCTCTGATAAATCAGAGACTAAGCCTAAGAGACTAAGAATAAATAAGTAGACTAAGGAAAATTAATATATGAATGATTCAATGTGACTAATAATGTGACTAAACACTTGACTGAAGTTAATAAGTAAGTTTGGAGTAAAAACATTTATTATTAAACAAAATATTTTCAAGTGTTTTAGATGTAGCAGCACTTACAGAACATTATCAGTAGAAACGGACATTATTGCACCTTGATTATCTCAATTTAATCTCAATCGAATAAATCAGCTGCAATTTTGAATGCAATTTGTTACGCGGTTTAAAAATACAGATGAAAATTGCCTTCAATTTATCACCCAACACTAGATATTGGCCAAAAAATAAATAAATAAATAAATAAATAAATAAATAAAAGTTTACGAGTTTTTTCTTACTAATATCAATATGAATCAAACATCACGAATTCCTAGTAGAAACCATAGGTTTTGGGACATATGCCTCAATATTTGCTTTCTTGACAACTTCACTTAGATCACTATTTACCAATAATTAATTAATACCATTAAAAAGTGCGTAGTTTTAAGCAAGTCTTATAGAAGTGAAACTCACAGTTGGTGATGTCAGGAGGAGCAAAACTGTCGTTCATGAAGACACTGTTGGGTTTAGCCACTTTCAAGTAGACCACATCTGGGGTATTTTTCAAGGCAGTCACGGCATGCTCATGGGTAACCTCCTCCAAGCAGGAGCTATTCACCTAAGACACACACACACACACACACACACACACACATTTGGATGATTTAACAAGCACACGGTCATCAATAACAAACAACAGAGCACTTTCTTACAGCAAGAAGTTTGTCTCCTATCTGCAGCCTCCCATCTTTGTGCGCAGCTCCACCTTCAATAATCTTGGTGACGTAGATGCTGTTGTCCCCTGGGATGTGCTGATTCCCAACACCCCCTGCTATACTGAAACCGAGACCTGCAGCAAACCAACATACAGACAAAAACAACTCGTGAAACGACTTCATTTACCTTTTTTCATTTAAAGGAGACCTATTATGCCTCTTTCTACAAGATGTAAAATAAGTCTCTGATGCCTCCAGAGTATGTGTGTGTGTGTGTGTGTGTGTGTGTGTGTGTGTGTGTGTGTGTGTGTGTGTGTGAAGTTTTAGCTCAAAATACCTCACAAATAATGTTTTATAACTCTTTACATCTGCCCCTTTTAGGCTTTGATCCTAATTGTGGCGTTTTGGTGACTGTCACTTTAAATTCAAATGACGTTGTGCTCTTTTTAAAAGAAGGCGGAGTCACAAATGCCTATGTGTCAGCATAGTGGCAGATTCAAAAACAAGACTAAGGGCGTACTCAAACTATGTACAGTTGCCTTGAAGCGGGCTGAGGCATGCTTGTCCCCCTTCCCGCACTCACATTGCATTCGGGCCCGAGCATGCTTATGTCATCGATGATGTGCTTTTTAGTTTAAGAAGCGCTCTCGCTCAGCACAGTGGAGATTTTTTTTTGTTATATCGTTTTAGTCGTTTGGGATGCAGTAAAACACATTTAAATATTTGCCAAACAGATCCACCACTTTTGACGCTCATAAACAATCGTAAAGTCCTCATGCTGCAGGAATTAGGAGATTTGCTGAAGGTGCAGCTGTGGTGCAGTGAGGGGTTTGCGTCTTTAATAATCCACGACAATTTGCGTTCATTGAACAGTAAGAATGATTAATAAATCCATATGAAACAAGTCCCTTAAAAGTCACGTCTCATCTTCAGTTTCAGGCTTAGGCATGCTTTATACTCACACTACAAGCGTACCGTAACTGAGTCCAAGGCTGCGTCCGAAACCGCCTACTACTCAGTAGGTACTGCATTTAAATTTATACGTACTACTCGGCCGATAAAACAGTACGCTCTATACAGTATGAATGTGAAAAGTATGAATGGAATTCGGACGTACTACATCCGCCATTTTGTCATGGTCACGTGACCTACCTGCGTCAGTTGCGTTGCCTCACTTCCATTCATGAATTCTCTCACGGGGCATGATGGGATATGGCAGCATGCATAGGATGCGCACTTCAGAATCTCGCCGGAAGTAGTAGGTCATCCAGGTACTTCTCGCATACCGATTTTCGAATTCTATGAATTCGGACATACTACTCGGCTCGCATACTGATTTTAGCGTACTATATAGTATGGAAGTATGCGGTTTCGGACGCAGCCCAAGTGAACCGCGATCTGGCGCACCTCTTCCAACCCGGCCAGGGCCGGTCAAGTGAACTGTGCCTGAGCCCGATTCAGAGCACTCACACTTCTCATACGATCCGGGAAAGGGGCCTGGGCACGGTTCGGATAGCATAGTGTGAGTGCGCCTTAACATCTTATGCTAATGAGGGAGAGACTGTCATTAATGGGCTGGGCTTTCCCCCTCTGATGACATGTACAAAGAGAGACTGTCAATCAAAGTGTTTTATAGACTGCTTTAATTAAAGTTGATCATAAATAATGAAATGAATACACTTTTTACAATAAGAAGCTGCTTATATTTACAGACGGTTGCCACACAACGGTTTAAACCCCTTATAAAAGTGATTTTGGCATAATAGGTCCTCTTTAAAACGAGTTATTTAATTTTCCTCAAATATACCTTCAATGAACAACAGTAATCACACAACATAAAATAAAGAGAAATATTGTATAAATTAAACAATGAACTCTACATAAAGTCAAAGGGGTGGACAGTTTCCATGGTAACAACAGCTTAAAGTCTTTGCTGCGTGTTGTGGAAATGCTAAGGCTTAAAATAGCCTCTTTGCGTATTTGTGTGTATGTCTAACCATATATGCGTTCATCAAGAATGGATCTCGTTCACTGCTAACTGCATTATTTACATTTTTGAACTTCTTACAAAATGTTGGTAAGACTTTATTTTGCTGGTCCATTTGAGTTTTAGTTGGTTGTCTGCTTAATATCTGTTGATACTCCTGCTAAACAGACATTTAACTGACTATTAGAGACTTTGCAAGTACATGTCAACTAACCCTAACCCCAACCTAAAACTCTACTTATAATCTAACGAGAGTAAGTTGGCATGTAGATGCAATGTAACTTAAATTCAACAAACAAACCATCAAAATAAAGTGTGACCAAAATGTTTTGTCATTCACAACACATGCAAATGAGTTCTTAAGCTCTTTTTGATGTTAATGAGTTTTAAGTATACAAATGAGCAGCCGAGTGCATTATGTGGGTCATTTGCATAAAACACACCCACTCCGTTTCCAAATAAGGGCTTTCTGCAAAATACTCTTAAGTCGTGTGCCACTTTCTGCAGACATGCTGTTGCCAGATCCTCCAGCAATGCCAAGTGTGCCATTGTCAAACCCAGCTCAAACACATACAAAGACTACAGAACTAGCTGTATATCTGCTAGGGCTCCACAATATACTGTAAAAGTATCATTGGCATGATAGCAGTATATGCAATATACAGTTGAAGTCAGAATTATTCGCCCCCCTTTGAAATTTATTTTTCTTTTTTAAATATTTCCCAAATGATGTTTAATAGAGCAAGGGAATTTTTACAGTATGTCTGATAATATTTTTTCTTTTGGAGAAAGTCTTATTTAATTTATTTTGGCTAGAACAAAAGCAGTTTTAAATTTTTTAAACACCATTTTAAGGACAAAACTATTAGCCCCTTTAAGCTATATATTTTTTTCGATAATCTACAGAACAAACCATCGATATACAATAACTTGCCTACTTACTCTAACCTGCCTAGTTAACGTAATTAACCTTATTAAGCCTTTAAATGTCACTTTAAACTGTATAGAAGTGTCTTGAAAAATATCTAGTCAAATATTATTTACTGTCATCATGGAGAAGATAAAATAAATCAGTTATTATTATTAAAACTATTATAATTGGAAATGGTTTGAAAATAATCTTCTCTCAGTTAAACAGAAATTAGGGGGAAAAAAAAACAGGGGGGCGAATAATTTTGACTTCAACTGCATGCATCACAAACATGTGTGATAAATTACATTTATTTTATGCATTGGTTGTTAATCTAAGGGTGTTTTTACACCTGCCTTATTTAGTTCTGCTGAAACGCACTTGAGTTCGATTTCCCTCTTGTTGCATTTCGTTTGGGCAGGTGTGAATGTAGCAATTGCACTCGAGTGTGCATCAAAAGTGGAACAAAAATGCGTACCGAGACATCTTGATCTTGGTACGCTTTCAAACAAACCCTGAAGCGGTTGTTTGTGGTGAGAACATGATCCAAACTAAAACAGACCCAACCGCAAAAAGTACTGCGCCTTTTTGAACTAATCCAGCTGCCGTAGCCTGATGCTCACAGGCCTTTTCTTTCTTTTCACATGCAACGCTTTATACAGGATTAGCTTAGTTTTAAACCTTAAAAAACCTTTAAACCCTTTGTGTAATAACAATGAAAAGACACAAGAATAAAGTACTGAGCTACTGAAACGTACTTAATGCTTTATATAAAAGGCTTCTTTAATGATGACAACTTCAAGACGCCTCTCATATGGAGAATGAAGTCACATGCATTGCTCAGGTGCGAGTTCTTCACAGACTTTAACATAGTGTAGAAATCCTGAGGGTTCGGTGGGTCTTGTCTTTCAAATCTGAGATTTATTTTGTATTTTCTATATTGGGTTCAGGTCAGGTGATTGGCTGGGCCATTCTACAGCTTGATTTTCTTTCTCTGAAAGCATTTGAGAGTTTCCCTGGCTGTGTTTTAGATCAGTGGTTCTCAAACTGTGGTACTTGTACTTCCTTCTAGTGGTACGCGGAGGAATCAAATATGTCATATGTACATGCTATATATATATATTTCAAAATGTATCAAAAATGATTTATATATGAATATGACATATAATAATATTTATCATGTGATACATAGCCTATATTTCTGAGGTCCAGGCAACATTTTCAGGTGTTGATGAATTGACTACTATATGTAAATACTTTACATTTAAGTACAGCACTTTTTTACTTTTTAAGAACAGTAACCTACCATTTTAGAACCACATTTTAATTTAAATGTTGACATTTTTTGTTTGTTTTTTACCTGTAAACACAGTACAGTGTTAACGTTTAGACTATTTATAATGTTTAAAGTGGCTGACAATAATAACTATTCTTAATAATAGGAATTAATCTGACACATTTTGAACTGTACAGAGCTGTAGCTGCTTTACTGGGCTTACTACGCTACTGTATTTTAATACTGCTCATTATGGTGGTACTTGGAGAGACCTTTTTTTCTGAGGTGGTACTTGATGAAAAAAGTTTGAGAACCACTGTTTTAGATCATTGTCTTGCTGAAATGTCCACCCTGGTGCCATCTTCATCATCCTGCTAATGTAGATGTTGGACTGAAGCAGCTGATATTCATTTACAATGAGCCGCTGTCTGGGCTACTACTGCCTTTCTACACCTCCCTTTCTTCATGTGTTCAAAACTTTTTTTCTGCGTCAATTCTATTTTTTTTATGTTTTATTAATACATTGTGAAACATTACAAAAATTTACAAAGACATAAACATGTAACAATAAGCAAATACACTGAAGAGTATTTTGAGCAAATAATAATAATAAAAATAAATAAATAATAATAAATAAAAATAAGATGATAAAAATAAATAGATAAATAAAATAAAAAACAACAACACTAGTGCAAACTTATATACATAAAAAACAAGTCTACAATGTGTTGACCAGAAATAGTTTCCCGTAAAAGCTGGGCATTAGGGGGTGGGGACTCAATCAGAAGGAGCAGGGTAGAGCTGAAGAGTTTGGACATATTTGCGAAGGGGTTCCCACAATTTAATAAAAATAGTGCTAGTTTGGTGAAGAGAGTACCTCATTTTTTCTAATTTCATAAAATAAAGAACATTTCTTATCCAAAAAGAGTGAGAAGGAGGGTGAGGGCTCTTCCAGTTCAGAAGAATTAATCGCCTAGCCAGAAGGGTTAAGCATCAATTCTTTTTATTACACATAATTTCATTTGTAAACTATTTAGATTTGTTTTCTTTGCATATATGGGTTTATTTGGATTTATAAGCAACATCCAGTGAAAATTTCAAAACAACGGCACCTTTAGAAATATGTTTTCTGAAAAAAATAGGGATGTGTTCAATACTTATTTTCCCAGCTGTACTTTCATCTCCTAATGGTAAACATTTCAGGTTCAAACAAACACAAAGATCTTGCGATCTCATCCTGTGCTTCAACCAATCAATATCTTAACCTAAACACACAAATAGGCATTCATTTAACATTTTTCCTTAATTAGACAACCCTAAGTTAACTTGATGCGAGTCGAGAAGTCAAGACCTGTATACCGCAGAAACGTGCTTGGAAAAAGCGTTAAACTAATCAACACTTCTCCAGAATGTAACCTCAGCTTTTTCCTCTCTTCTGATGGGGAACTCAGGCCTGGGCTTCAGTATCTAAGTATAAACTCAGAGATAACCAATTACATTAAAACTGACCTTACATTAGGATATGTATAATCTTAAATGAACATGTACACTCTAGAACATCCAACATAATAAGATCCAGAGTTTCTTTACCTTTGGGTCCTTTGATGAGCTTGATCTCCATGACTTTTTCTGAGGCAGATTTTCTCCTCCTGACATACAGTCTGACCAGCGAGCCTGCCTCCTTCAACGCCTCCACAGCCTTACTGTGGGTGACGTCTCTGACGTCCACCTCGTTCACTCGCAGAATTACATCATTCACCCTGTGTGGAGTAAAAACACATGTAAACACACACACAAGAAACACAAGTGCGCAAAATCTTAACTTTATTCCACTACTCGCGTTATTCATCTGATAAAAATCCAGCTTGTTGATACTAAAGGCTGGTGCATATTAAAAGTTTAGTGTATTGGGTTAATGTGTGTACTGATTTGGCTTTGGTCTGGCATCTCAATGGTAATCCTAAATGTAAAGAAGTGCACTTTAAAATGACTTAAAATTTGTCCTGCAAAAGAATTTGTAAGGTTAAAATTCAATATTGGTGACTCAAATGTATGCCAGTTTTATAATTTAGATATTGAAACAATTGAACACTTGCTTTTCCAATGTGATGCGGTACAAAGATTTTGGGACGAAGTATTAGTTTGGATACAACAGAAAATATCTATAAGACTTGTCTTCTTATGGATAATTATTACGTTTGGCCTAATACGGATAAAAAGATATCTCATATAATGAATAATTTGATGTTATTATTCAAATTCTATATTCATAAATGTAAATTTTCAAAGTTACCCCACGACTAGTGGTGTTTAAAGAAGAATTTGTGTTATATTTAAAGACATGGAGAGAGATGAAAAGCCGAAAAGCAAGATATTTATTTCATCAGTAGAAAATTTGGTTTCATATTTTAGAACTTTACTTAATTTTCTTTAGCATAATTTTTTTTTTGTTAATTTTTGTTGTTTTATTTATTTATATATGTTGTATTATAAATGAGGATGGAAAGATTGTGAATGTATGCAAGTTGATTGTTTTTTTTTTTTATTGCAATTTTAAAACACAGTACATACAAGGGCAATAACAACATCATATTAACATCCAATCAAGTACAATATAAGAAAATAAATAAATAAATAAATAAATTATTCCAAAAACTAAATTGTGTTTAAAATAAGTGTTTAAAATAATTAACAGCTTTTTTCTGTGCAATATTCGTACTCTGCTTAACAAAAAAGAAAAGATCACGGCAAAACAATTGTGTATAAATACAATCATAAAATAATTGAACAATACTCTCCTCTTTATCATTACAGAAAGTACATTTTAAATCAATATCTTTACAAAATCTTCCAATTACCTGTTTTACAGGATAAATATGATAAACAATTTTAAATGATAACCTCTCTAATTTTATTCGTTACACAAAAACGTCTAGAAATCTTAAAAGTCTCGTTCCAGTTAACATCTTGAAATTGTGATCTCCAGTACCCAATAGCTGAAGGAACATTGACAATCCGGCAAATCATTCTAAGATAATTATTATTAATTTTTCTTTTATATTTATGCCTTCCAATTTAAGACTAAAATCTAAATTTGTATTTTGAACTATATCATTTACTAATCATTTCTTAAGCTCTGAAGGAATACCATTAATTACCATCATATACTCTTTAACAAGAATATAAAGAGAACATTTTTCTAGAAAATCTAAATAAGTAAGCACATGACCATCACTATTTAAAAGTTGTGAAACCAGCAAGATATTATTATACAAGTTGATTAGTATCTCAGTCTTTTGTGTAATTCTAAAAAGTATTAAAGTCTTTCTGTTACTGTTAAAAAAAATAAAATAAAATACAAATTTTGACATTAAAACAAGCAACCAGAACAAATCACCCTGTGTTTCTTCCAGATGCACGTGTGTAAAAAACAGAAGATTACCGCAATCTGCCATCCTGAGCGGCAGCGCCCCCTGGGATGACTTTAGTGATGAAAATGCTGGGGTCTTCACCAATGTGAGGGTTATCTGTGCCACCGGCGATACTGAAGCCCAGGCCTGAGTTCCCCTATACATCATGAGAGAGGAAAAAGCTGAGGTTACATTCTGGAGGAGTGTTGATTAGTTCAATGGTTTCTAAGCACGTTTCTGTGGCATACAGGTCTTGACATCTCGACTAACATTAAGTTAATTCAGGAGTGTCAAACGGAGTTATAATTCATTATACGCATGAGCTTCATAGAAAAAGGGTTGCCAGATGTTTTATTAAATTCCAGATCTAGAATTTGAGTCTTTGACTTGAATCTGAGTGTTTTGTCAAATATACTGTAACTTTACATTTGTGAATAAGCAAATAACGCATTGCACAGTTTTGCATTTACAGCAAAATATAATTTGAAAATATAATACAAATTTAATATAATAAAAATATGTTTAAAATCAAAATATTATTTCTACTTCAATAAACATAATTTATTCAACAATAAATAAGTGTTAGCACTAAAATAAACACTACAATAATAATAAAAAAAAGTGCTCCAGCTTGCTCTGCTCTCAACTAGCTTCCAATTGATTTGTATTGGTTTTACTGATTGGATGTTGGGAGAACTAGAAATACAAATAGCTTTTACCACAGTTAAAAGTCAGTTTACAGACACCAACAATACACTAGACAGCATTTAATCCAGTACTAACACAACGGTTATTGTTTCTCTGCCTTTTCCGGTGCCATTCAAAAGATATCAGTAAAAACAGAATTTTCTTAAAGAGGTGTTCGGAAGATTGTCATGAAGCCTTAATATAAACAATCATGTTTATGACAGATTTATGACATGTTATGTTATCTAGGTAATGCCAAGCAAGTTGTCATAACAAATAATGTCATCTTTGCATTTAAATTGACATAACTGAACGAAGGACACTTAATAACAGTTGTCATAAGCATTTGAAATGTCATAATTGAGACAATAACACTTAACAGTTGTCATAAGCATTCAAAATGTTATAATTTAGAGACGGACACTTAATAACAGTTGTCATAAGCATTTAAAATGTCATATCTAACAGGATGACACTTAATTGTTGTCATAAGCATTTGAAATGTCATAACTGAGCAAATGACACTTAATAACAGTTGTCATAAGCATTTGAAATGTCATAACTGAGAGAAAGACACTTAACAGTTGTCATAAGCATTTGAAAAGTCATAACTGAGCAAATGACACTTAATAACAGTTGTCATAAGCATTTGAAATGTCATATTGAGCAAATGACTTTTAATAACAGTTGTCATAAGCATTTGAAATGTCATAACTGAGAGAAAGACACTTAACAGTTGTCATAAGCATTTGAAAAGTCATAACTGAGCAAATGACACTTAATAACAGTTGTCATAAGCATTTTAAATGTTGTAACTGAGAGAATGACACTTAATAACAGTTGTCATAAGCATTTGAAATGCCATAACTGAGAGAATGACACTTAACAGTTGTCATAAGCATTTGAAAATGTCAAAACATGGCAAATGACACTTAATAACAGTTGTAATAAGCATTTTTAATGTCATACCTTAGTGACTGACACCTAATGACAGTTGTCATAAGAATTTGAAATGTCATAACATAGCAAACGACACTTAATAACAGTTTTCATAAGCATTTGAAATGTCATACCTGAGCAAATGACACTTAATGACAGTTGTCATAAGCATTTGAAATGTCATACCTTAGTGACTGACACCTAATGACAGTTGTCATAAGCATTTGAAATGTCATAACTGAGCAAATGACACTTAAGACCAGTTGTCATAAACATTTGTAAATGTCAAAACATAGCAAATGACACTTAATAACAGTTGTTATAAGCATTTTAAATGTCGTAACTTAGTGACTGACACCTAATGACAGCTGTCATAAGCATTTGAAATGTCATACCTGAGCAAATGACACTTAATAACAGTTGTCATAAGCATTTGAAATCTCATAACCTATCGATTGACACTTCATAACAGTTGTCATAAGCATTTTAAATGTTGTAACTAAGAGAATGACACTTAATAACAGTTGTCATAGGCATTTGAAATGTCATAACTGAGAGAATGACACTTATTAACAGTTGTCATAAGCATTTGAAATGTCATAACTGAGAGAATGACACTTATTAACAGTTGTCATAAGCATTTGTAATGTCATAACTGAGAGAATGACACAATAACAGTTGTCATAAGCATTTGAAATGTCATAACTGAGAGAAAGACACTTAATAACAGTTGTCATAAGCATTTGAAAGTCAAAACTCAGTGACTGACACTTAATAACAGTTGTCATAAGCATTTGAAATGTCATACCTTAGTGAATGACACTTAATGACAGTTGTTATAAGCATGCATTCCCATTCATGACATGTCTTATGAACACCTCTTCAAGTAAAGTTGTACCGAATAGTCTAATAAAGAAGATTTTTAAGCAATACTTTCCCTAGGCAAAACAAATCTACATATAGTTACACTCAAAAAATGATTTTGCTGCTTGTTCAAACTACTTAATTAAAATGAATTGAAACAACACAATTCTTAATTCTTAAAAACAATGAAATTAACATGTAGGAAATTTGTGGAAGCATGGACTGAATGGAGTTATACTGTTGTTGTCATTATGAAGCAGGCTTTGAGTTGCGCTGACAACAGCTTGTGGAGGAGCATTGTTTATTTATGCAGTTAATAAATGTGCACTACAGAGCAGCGCTGAATTGGGTCACAAAAAAGCTGATGGGGGCGGGAGGCCTTAGGCAGAGCTGCGGATTAAGTCTTAACAGTGGAAGGCAAGATGTTGCTCTTTTTTCCCCTCTGCAGTGACGGAGTGAATCGGTTAGTCAGGAGAGTGTTTCTTATGCTTTCCCAAACACTCTGACATGCTGTATTTAATTGACAGCATCTGAGCTGTAAAAAGTCACTGCATAGGAGTGCTTTAAGGCATGTTTGTTGGTATTTTAGGAATGGCTATGAGAGGAGAACACTGTAATAGGAGTCGGTGTCATACTATAGGCATTCAAATGCGATACATACTGCAATAAATGCTTTTCTTATTTGCTTAACTTGCTTTACTTACTAACCTTTAAAATAACAATTCCTGGATTTAACCATGCATGCTATTTCAAAGAGAATTTTTTGAGTATTGTTCCTACTCTTTTTACTCCAACAAGCCATCATTAAAGTGATGGTTTCAAATAGTGATGTCTTGATAATTGCCGAATCTTTTGTCATGGTTTAGAAATTGTAATTATTAAGCAATACACTAATAGACTTCATTGAAAATGTATTATACCCACAGACATCAGCATTTTTTAAAAGGACACTCTATATTGAATAACTACGAATATTTACAGTCCACCCTATTGACCTTATTCTGAAATGCGGAAGTGCGCCTGTTTTCGCGATTGTCTTAGAACTTTCGATTCAGTCGCCTATGGGAGAAATGACTAGGAACGGACGGACGGACGGACGGACGGACGGACAGACGGACAGACGGACAGACAGACAGACAGACAGACAGACAGACAGACAGACAGACAGATAGATAGATAGATAGATAGATAGATAGATAGATAGATAGATAGATAGATAGATAGATAGATAGATAGATAGATAGATAGATAGATAGATAGATAGATAGATAGATAGATAGATAAGCATGTTCTTAACATGTTTCTATTATAAATTAACATGTTGGAAACATGTTTATAGTATGAATGAACATGTTGCTAGCTTGTTTCGAGTATGAATTAACATGGTAACATTTTCCAAGTACAATAAGGTTCATTAGTTAATGTGACTTAATGCATTTACTGACATGAACAAACAATGAACAATACATTTACTACAGTTTTTGTTAGCATGTTTTAAGTATGCATTGACATTTAGAAAACATGCTTCTAGTAAGACTTAGTATGTTGTTAAAATGTTAACATGATGCAAGCATATTTCTAGTGAAAGTAGCATGTTGCTAACATGTTTCTACTATAAATTAACAAGATGTTAACATGTTTTAAAGTATGAATTAACATGTTCCTAGCATGTTTCTAGTGAAACTAGCATGTTGGCAACATGTTCCTAGTATGAATTAACATGTTGCTATGATGTTTCTAGTGGAATTAACATGCTGTTAACATGTTTCTAGTATGAATCAACATGTTGCTAGCATGTTTCTAGTTTGGATTAACATGCTGGTAACATGTTTCTAGTATGAATTAACAGGTTGCTAGCATGTTTCTAGTATGGGTTAACATGTTAGTAACATGTTTCTAGTATGAATTAACAGGTTGCTAGCATGTTTCTAGTATGGGTTAACATGTTAGTAACATGTTTCTAGTATGAATTAACAGGTTGTTAGTATGATTCTCGTGCAAGTTGGCATTTGGCAAACATGCTTTCAGTAAGACTTAGCATGTTGTTAAATGTTTTTATTACGAGTTGGCATGTTGCTAGCATAATTCTAGCGAACATGTTTCGAGTATAAATTAACATGTTGCTATGATGTTTCTAGTGGAATTAGCATGTTCTTAACATGTTTTAATAATAAATTAACATGATGCTATGATGTTTCTAGTGGAATTAGCATGTTCTTAACATGTTTTTAGTATAAACTAACATGTTACAAGTATGTTTGAAGTGAAATAGCATGTTGGAAACATGTTTCTACTATGAATTAACATGTTGCTAGCTTGTTTATAGTATGAATTAACATAATAACATGTTTCAAGTATGAATTAACAGGTTAGCATGTTTCTAGTGTGGATTGGCATGTGGCAAACAGCTTTTAGTACTTAGCATGTTGTTAAATGTTTCTAGTATGAGTTAGCATGTTTCTAATGAAATTAGCATGTTAACATGTTACTAGCATGTTTTTAGTGTGGATTAACACATTATTAACACATCATTCTACTACAAATTTGCTGTTTAATAGCATGAATTAGCATGTTGTTTACAGGCTTCTATTATTGATTAGCATGTTGCTAGCATGGTTTTGTAAGTGCTCTACATTTAAATAAACAGAAAAAGATTATAAAGTGCTGTCTAAAATCTAAATAATTAGAGTCAGAATACTTCACTTTAAATATGTGCAATTTAATATTGTACATATTTATTTACACAATATATACAGAATACCTCTGGCACATGTTTATTCCCATTACACCATCAAATTAAAACACGCAAGTCCCATTACACCAATAAACTAGAGAGTGACTTATTTGGCCCCGATCATGCTTGCAGATTATCCTCTCTTAAGCACTAATTCTTAGCACCTAACAGGAGTTACAGCACTGTATGGAGACAGCAGAGAATAAAAAGGCTGCTCACCCTTTCCAGCGTGATCTCTTCATACTCAAAGTCAGCCTCTGTACCGTTAACCTGTGGATGAAGAAAAATATCAGAGATTATTTGCACACAGTTCAAGTCAAAAACATGTTTTTTTTTCAAATATTTCCCAAATGATGTTTAACAGAGGAAGGAATTATATTTTAGTATTTCCTATAATTTTTTTTTCTTCTGGAGAAAGTCTTATTTGTTTTATTTCGGCTAGAATAAAAGCAGTTTTTAATAATTTTTTAAAACAATTTTAAGGTCAATATTATTAGCAATATTTTTTCGATTGTCAACAGATCAAACCACTTTTATACAATGACTTGCCTAATTAAATGAGTTAGTAAAACTATTATGTTTAGTAATGTGTTGAAAAAAATCTTCTTTCTTTGAACAGAAATTGGAGAAAAAAATACAGAGGGGCTAATAAATATTAATATTTTAGTCTGTGTACATTTGTAGCTGATTTCCACTTGTCTTTTTGTTTTATATCATGTTTTTCATTTTTTTGTAGAACTTTAAATGTGAAGTGCTTTATGCACTTTATGTTATTATTGTTGTTATATACTGCACGTCAATGAAAGCAACATATTAATAATAAACTGGCTATAATTGTGTTAAAAAGTTTGAACAGATTGTCTGGCCAATAAGAATCCAGTATTCACATGAATGATTATTTTCAGATTATAATCAAGTTCATTGGGGTGGTACGGCGGCTCAGTGGTTAGCACTGTCACCTCACAGCAAGAAGGTCGCTGGTTCGAGTCCTAGCTGGGTCAGTTGGCATTTCTGTGTGGAGTTTGCATGTTCTCCCTGTGTTGGCTTCCTCCCGGTGCTCCGGTTTCCCCCACAGTCTAAAGACATGCGCTATAGGTGAATTGAGTAAGCTAAACGGTCCAAAGTGTATGAGTGTGTGTGTGTGTGTGTGTGTGTGTGTGTGTGTGAATGTGTGTCAACGAGTATTCCCTACGGCTCAACAATAAGGACTGCCCGATGGCCCAGGGCCAGCATGAGAGACGCTTGGGACAGTAGACAGGATCATTACTGGCCCGATTGGGACAGTGCTGCCTTGTCACTAAAGTGTAGTTTGTCAGCGACTATTTGTCAGTTGCATGCATTTTAAGTTTGTGCTTTTAAGTCTTTAAATGTAATCTTCTCTGTGATGTCGTAAACACAATATTGCTTTTTGGTTCCTCTTATCTGATTTGATGTTTTGAGCATGCAATTTTTTTCCGCAACCTGATAACAACCAGTACAGCGAAGAAATGGCAAAATCAAATTATGAGGCTAAAAGAAAATGTCTGTTTCTAACGTCTTGAAAGCAGACATTTACATGGAAACAACACAACAAAAAATGAAGTGATGTTTTGCACAATTTGCCGTTTACCTTTTGTTAAATAATTTCAAACTGCAATAAAATACCTGCACATTTTCCATACTGCTCTTTTTTGTTTGCACAACACTTAGAATTTTGCTCATTTTACATTTATTAAAAAAAAATAAGGTATTGAAATTCTAGATTCACAGACATTATTTTTGACACATTGTTTAAAATATGTGGCTAAAAATTAGCTATGAACTTCTTCTTTTTATTTTCTGGTGGGGCAAGTGAACATTTTGGCAGGGCAGATGAAAATCTGAACCACTGGCCCGAACGCACCAGTAGAAAAAATCCTTAGCGTTGAACCCTATTTCCCAATACTGGGTTGCAGCAGGAAGGGCATACGCTGCAGAAAGCATATGCTGCATAAGTTGGCAGTTCGTTCCACTGTGGCGACCACTAAAATAAAGATTAAGCCAAAGGAAAATGAATAAATGAATCAAGTTCATTGTAAAACACTATGGAGTGTGTCTGTTATTTGCAGTCTCTGCTGTGTCATGTTCTGCTCTGAGATTTACAGATACTAATTATTAATCTGTGGCTGATTATTTATTGATAATCAACATCAACCCAGACATCTCTTTAAACTAATAACAATGTCACTACTTTTAAAGGCTAAAAGTAATGTAAATCATTATAGAAATTATTTATTGTTTTCTAAAATTATTAGTTATTTTCTGAATCAGAAAGTGTGGGGTTTTAAATGCTTGCTTAAATTGCTATTCGTTGTTTTTTTTAAACCAAACGTAAAACAGAGATCTTAAAAGATGACTTTGAGATTCTCCTTTGACGTCTATTTAACCCTAGTGACACTCTAATAATCATAACGAAACAATGATCCTTAAACCGCAGCGCATATCCAGTGATGATGCAATATGCGACAGCAGTCAAAGCCGTTTTCCAGAAGAACTCTGCTTTGATTATGTAATGCATAAAGGGATTGGGCCTTGCGTATTCATTAGCACTGTAGCTGGCTGCGTCTGGTTTGGTCTCAGCACCACGGACAGTGTCACACCGCTAAAGCCCTGAACACGGAGCTAATGAGCAGAGATCAAGCATTATCTAGATTGATCTCATTTTTATATAGCGTGCGCATTTCACACAAATATACTGGAAAATCTAAGAGCACTAAATAGGCATTTTAAGAATATAGGCCTAAAGCTTAAATTTTACCCCCTAGCCTTTCCCATAACCCATACCCCTCGTTTTACATGTTCACATGAAGGGGTAGGGGTGTCTCAGTTCTCTTTGGCTTGAAGGCGTGGGGCTAAGGAGAAGGGCTAGATAATCCTCGACATGGAGATTTTTCAGGACCACACTCGAAACCAAGAGGTAAGAAAAGTTTCAATATCGTTATACTATCATTATCATGGTATCATTATAGCATCGTTATACCAAAAACAATGCACTTAAATAGGAGACAAGTATTAAATATTTAATGCATAAAAACGCGTATGCGTTATTGTCATAACGGGACAACCTATGCAGTTTGGCAGTATTTCTGGTTTTGACCGAACGAGAAAGGAGACGTGCTTAATCTGAATTTCTGAATAAACCATGGAACGGTCAGTAACTGGTGTCATTTGAACAGGAGCGGGTGGCCTAACAATATCACTCGTTGATAGCTAAAATAAAAACCTCTAAATTTCTATCATGTCTATATATCTATATCTAAAATCCCTAATAATAACTCCCATATAACTCCCCACAACATTCTGTCACTCGATGACACTTGAATACCCTGTCAGAAAAGTCTAGTGGCTGGGAATGGGCTTTTTACAGTGTCTGCTATAATGTTAGGGTTGTTTTTGGTGGGTTTACATAGATGAATAGAATGTAAATGCACAGTACAGTTACGATCTTATTGCCATGTTATATCCTCATGATAACATGATATATGCCTTCAGTGATTTCCTGAAGATAAATACCAAAAAATAACACAACTGGAATAACTACATATTAAATGAAATTAACATATTAATTTGGATGTACAAGTATTTTTTTTTCCAGTTGGTAGCTAAAGACAACATTCACAAAATAAGACAATAAGATTTCATTTAATGGCCACATAAAATAATGTCCTTTAAAACAGGACCACCTTAAAAAACATTATTCCCACCGCATGGCATCAATTACAATCCCCAATCACTCAAGACAAAGCAGCGAGGAGTCCCGTGAGCCTTCAAAACCTGCGACACTGCTGATCCAGCACAAAGCTAAAGTAGAGGTAGACCGTGTGCTGTTTGGTGAGATAAACAGACGTAATGCCCCCGAGTGACCTCGCTGCTCCACAGGCACACTCGAGGGAAATGAAGCGGAAAACTAACCAAGGAGAACTCACTTCATTATAGTGTCATAACAGAATGAACACCACACCGTTGACTAATGGGATGCAGAAATGATGATTTGGCAAACCTCACCAACATGACCGGTATTGAGATATTCTTGATGGTTCTTGACCTAAATTCGAATCTTCAAAGTCTAAAGACTACCCTTTTAGTGGTCATACACTACCTGACAAAAGTCTCGTCATCTATCCATGTCTTAGTATATACAAATAATAACTTAACTTCTAGTTAATAATTTGATATCAAAAGTGGCTTATATGAAAGGCAAAGGCCTCTAGATTACGCTTATGTTACCTAAATAAAATATGATCATGCCTTGATTTTTAATTATTTAATTAGGATAGTAAAGTCTGACTGCTTAGACCAGGGATGGGAAAACTCAGTCCTGGAGGGCCGGTGTCCAGCACAGTTTAGCTCCAACACAATCAAACACACCTGAACATGCTAATCAGTGTCTTCAGGATCACTAGAAATCTATACGTAGGTGTGTTTGATTAGAGTTGGAGCTAATCTGTGCAGGACACCGGCCCTCCAGGACCGAGTTTGCCCACCCCTGGCTTAGACTAAAGTCTCATCACTTCACAGAAATAATGTCCAGTATAGAATATAAAGTCATGCTGCAGTGGAGAAAGAATGAACATTGTGCATGACTCCATCATGAGCTTGGAGGACTGCATCCATACATCTCTGCAATGACTCAAATCACTGATTAATAAAGTCATCTGGAATGGCAAAGAAAGCGTTCTTGCAGGACTCCCAGAGTTCATCAAGACTCTTTGGATTCATCTTCAATGCCTCTTCCTCCATCTTACCTCAGACATGCTCAATAATGTTCATGTCTGGTGACTGGACTGGCCAATCCTAGAGCACCTTGACCTTCTTAGCTTTCAGGAACTTTGATGTGGTGGCTGAAGTATGAGTATGAGCGCTATCCTGCTGAAGAATTTGCCCTCTCCTGTGGTTTGTAATGTAATGGGCAGCACAAATGTCTTGATACCTCAGGATGTTGATGTTGCCGTCCACTCTGCAGATCTCTTGCACGCTTCCATACTGAATGTAACCCCAAACCATGATTTTTCCTTCACCAAACTTGACTGATTTCTATGAGGATCTTGGGTCCATGCAGGTTCCAGTAGGTCTTCTGCAGTATGTGTGATGATTGGGATGCAGTTTAACAGATGATTCATCAGAGAAATTGACCTTCAGACACTTTTCCAAATGATCAACTAGAAGTCAAGTTATTATTTGTTGCTCTTACGTCTGGGATCGACAACAAGACTTTTGTCACGATAGTGTAGACGTCCAAATGTCTGTTTTGTGCACAAACAGTCTTGGAACAAGTGGATATTAAGTAAATGATAAGAGAATTTTAAGCTTTAGGCAATTTATCTCTTTAAATCTTTTGAATTTGTCAAGCTGCTATGTTGTATAGCAGTCAGGGTTCATACACAATTTAACTACTGAAATTCCATGACTTTCCATGATTTTTCCAAGACTTTCAAGTAAATTTTCATGACCTAATGTTTCATGCAATGTCTACATATGCGTGGTAAAAGAAAAACAATGCATGTTCGAATTTATTACAGCATATCTTAAAGCCATTATTAGTTTTATTAAATTTTATTTTATATTTATATCTATGCAAAATAGATTTAGATAATTCTTACACCGCACTAATAATGTGAAAGTATGTGATTGGCCAAGGACACAAAAGAAGTAAATAACCTACAGTTGAAGTCAGAATTATTAGCCCCCTGAATTATTAGCCCTCTTGGTTATTTTATCCCCAAATTCTGTTTAACGGAGAGATTTTATTCAACACATTTCTAAACATAATAGTTTTAATAACTCATCTCTAATAACTGATTTATTTTATCTTTGCCATGATGACAGTAAATAATATTTGACTAGATATTATTCAAGACACTTCTATACAGCTTAAAGTGACATTTAAAGGCTTAATTAGGTTAACTAGGCAGGTTAGGGTAATTAGGCAAGTTATTGTATAACAATGGTTTGTTCTGTAGACCATCGAAAAAATATATCTTAAAGGGGCTAATAATATTGACCGTAAAATGGTTCTTAAAAAATTAAAAACTGCTTTTATTCTAGCCGAAATTAAACAAATTTGACTTTCTCCAGAAGAAAAAATATTATCAGACATACTGTGAAAAATGTCTTGCTCTGTTAAACATCATTTAGGAAACATTTTAAATATTCAACTGTATATTCAAGAATACAGATATCTGTTCTCCATGACTTTTCCAAAAGTTTTCCAGGCTTGGAAAATGCCATGTCAAAATTCCATGACCTTTCCAGGTTTTCCACGACCGTATAGATTCTGCGCAGTGGTCTCAAACTCAACTCCTGGAGGGTCACAGCTCTGCAGATTTTAGCTCCAACCACCTCCAACTCACACCGGCTTAATAGTCTCAAGCAGTCTTGAACACCTTGATTAGTTGGATCAGCTGTGTTTAATTAGGGTTGGAGCAAAACTGTGCAGAGCTGTGCCCATTAGGAATCAAGATTGAGACCCTCATTGTATAGTAAGAAAAACATATACTATCTCTGAGGTTGTGGAGACAAACTGTAAACGTTAAATGCTGAGTACGTGAGAAATCTGCAATTACTGCATGACTGCATTCCCCAAAAATCTAATCAGAATACATTAACGCATTACTGTGGAATGCATTACACCCAACTTTGGTACCTGCATGCATAGAATGACATGACATGCCGCTCCAGAGGAAATTGTGAATTCTACATTTAAAATAAAGAGCGAAAGGACACTTACATATGGAGCTGAGTCCAAGCTCTCTGTATTTACCACGACAGGGGGAGGATTTGCCTGCAAGAGAAAACAGTCCAGCTGAAGCACAGATACATTCTCCATTCAATTCCAACACAGTGAGTTAAAAGAAATAAAGCAGTGTTAATCTAGCAGCCAAAAAAAAGAGAAGCAGATTCACTTACTCTCCACATGACGCTACATATACCACCACTGGCACTCACACCAGATTAACACAGCGCTTCCAGCATACGTACGAACATGGCATTTTACACTGCAGAACATGCAATGCTGAAGCATGAATGTTATTCCCAAAGCAAAAGTAGCCCAAAATTAAATCCACTGTGCGTGTGTGTGTGTGTGTGTTTTTTTATGGGGCTTTCCACGTCCTCCAGCCGGCTGACACGCAGATGCTATTAGTCAAGGGGAGCTGTGATACTTTACCCAACTCAGGGGCTGATAATCCTTCAGCCCCGTCAGCGAGCAGTGCAAATGGGCAGGGATCAAGAAATGAAATGACCAACAGCAATAGAGCAAAAGGCAAAAGAGGGTGGGGGGTGAATATAGAGAAAGAAAAAAAAAAAAAAAGACCTGTGACGTTGATGGAGAGATGACAGCGGGCTCCGTAGGGACAGTGGAGATTGGGATCACAGGGATTATGAGAGTGGAGGGTGGGACAGCATCTGTCTGCTGAACAATAGCATGGAAGGGGAGAGGTCAGGTCACATATACATACACAACACAACACAACGTTCACAGCTTAACGTAGGAATCGTGCACGGTGTATGGGGAGAGTGTGTCGGATTGAGGCAAATATGTCGAGGAGGGACCCTCTTTGTGATCATTGGAGCATTCAGACCAGTGTGGAATGGAAATGAGCATGTGAATGAATATGAAGCCATAATCCACACGGCTGCGCTTTGTAATCTTGTGACGACTAAACAGTGGACATCTGCGGTTGCAATACGAATTGGACTTCCGCATTATGTTCCGGTCAGGATAATAATACTTCTCGCTATGTTTCCGTCTGCCTATTTTTAATGCACATTTTCAAATATTGCATAAGTTATGCTTAAAGGGGGCCAATTTTAAAAGACGTAAAATAAGCCTCTGATGTATCTGGAGTGTGTGTGTGTGAAGTTCCAGATCAGAATATCACACTAATAATGTTTTATAAGTCTTTGAATCGGCCCCTTTTAGGCTTTGATCCTAATGGACCCTTCGCTAAGCCCCGCCCTCCTTAGTTACTGTTGCTACGCTTGTCAAGCTTTCGTGCCAGCCACGCTTTTTCAATGTGTGTGCGCGTTGTCAGACATTGTCAGGGATATAATGTCATTTTTGGCGAACAGGTGAGATATCAGAGAAAGCCAGACAAAAAAGGACTGCAGTGTGCATTACAGGGGTATAGTCACCACATAATAGGCAACCGATTAGAGAATAAATCAATCAAAATTGAAGCTAGCTTAGCCTAGCCACCTTATACGCTAACATAGATATATATACACTAGATATCGCATAGGGACCCTCAGCATGCGTCAATAGCGCCGCCACATTGGTACAGTGATCCCAGGACAAATGTCATTCAACTGCACTAGTCAAAACAGTGTTATTATGTGAAGATGCTAGACTTTAGCTCTGTCTACGGGTGTAGTAACGAGCAAACAAAGAAAACAAAGCACAAAGGCAGAACACTTCATAGGTAATATTACGTTTTTTTCTGTTTTTGTATGTTCTGAACTTTTGTGCTAATCAGGTAACGTTATTGATGATAACAGGCACTTACTGCATTCACCATACGACAAAGCAGCTCCAACTCGCACTAAACACATGTTTCACTAAACATGAGAAGTGAAAGCAGGAGAGGAGCTGTGTTTCAGGACACGGATTATATTAAATTTAACAGGGAGGGTGAATAGTACATTTCTGTACACACAAACACAAGCTTTTTGTTAGGAATGCCCGTGCGGTCACTGATCCATCAATGTAGAAAAGTGATGTAAAATTATAATTTTCGTAATTAGAAAAAAAAATTACACACTACAATCCAGGAAAACTCCCGATCATAGATATATGTGTATATGTGTATATCTCTGGCTTTGGATGGCCACAGTCCTCCACTGTACCTTGGTCCCGCATTCATTTCAAAGGAGCGCTACCCTGTAGCAAGATGGCGGCGCTATTGACGCATTCCGTCGAATATATAGCAATAGGCCAGGCGACATCTAGTGTATATCTCTATGACACGCTAACAATTCAACAGCTTAGCTCATGCTCAGCAGGAGAGGTGAAATTTAAAAATAATCTAATAATAATAATTAATGAAACCGTGATTTCTCTATTTTTAGCCAAAAAGCCTGATAGATTAATTAGTGTGCAATGAAATATAGCGATACTAACCGATGAGGAATCACGCATGAAAGTGCTTTTACATAATTAATTTATAGAAAGAACAGCCAGAAAGGGAAACTGATGGATTTGTGCCGAATATTAGCATCATTGACCCATAACAATGTACAGTAAGTTACCTATTACTGTCAGTGTGTTTATGTGCTCTTTATAAATAACAGAAAAGCAGCTGCGGGTAAAGTATATTGATCGCAAGTGCTCAGTTTGTGATTATATCTCGATTTTGTTCTGTTGATTTGTAATTTCAAATATTCGTAGCTTGAAATAGATGGATATATGAAGTTCAGTAAAGTTAGCGACAGATTCGCAGATTCGTATTTGCCGGATCAATAACTCATGTCAATATGATCTATTCGCTAATAGTATGACTAACGTTACTTTATTGCTTTACTTTATTGAAACGGTGCTTAATTGTTTTATGCGATAGTCTAGTTTTGCACATAAGTATAACTCATATGTATGGATGAAAACCTAGCTACTGAAGCCTCTACAAACAAAAAGTTACTCAAGTCTTTAAGCTGTTATACGAGAATTATTTTGATTCTAAACTTGTTACAACATTATGAAAAAAAATACTTTTTTTGTAAAAAAAAATGTGCAAAGCATTTTATGTGATTGTTTACCTAATATTTATCCAAACGAACAACTTTCATGCTTCAAATAATTGAGTGATTTCATCCAAGCTCTCTGAAGAGACATGATCACTTTATATGATGAACAGATTAAATTTGTCTTTTATTCAAATATAAACATACATCAATACACACACACACACACACACACACACACACACACACACACACACACACACACACACAAACACACACACACAAACACACACAAAGAGCACCAATACACAACCTCAAACATGCTTGTGTGAAGTATGTTTGAAGTACATCTTTACAGCTTTAACAAGAACCAAACTGTTTGCTATGCTGTAATATGAACTAGTTTTTACTTTAGGACAGTTATGCAGTATGTTACTGTGTTTTAAAGTTGCATTGTAAAAATGACTGTATATTTTACAGTAAAGATATACAGTACTGTAAATACATATACTGTATACTGTATATATACTGTATATTTGGCCGGAGAATGGCCAGACTGGAAGGCAACGGTGACTCAAAAAACCAGCAGGACAACGCACCATGTCAAAGCGTGAATCATCTCAGACTGGTTTCTTGAAGGACTGGTTTTCTGAAGGAACTGTGTTTGAAAAGGTTTACAAAATATATGTTATTTTGCCTCTGAAAGATTCATATTAAAGTAGTGTTCATAAGTGCTGCTGCTTTGTTTACAGTGGTACCCTAATAGTCTCATTCAGCTCATCTGTATCGGTTTCCTTCAGATGTTGAATGCAGTTTGACAATAGTTTCACAAAACTAAAGTCAGACTGTTCTGTTTTTGCTTCGGTACTCTGAATTATACAGTCTACTTTAGATTAAAAACTGCTCTTCCTGCATCTTTGTTTAGATCATGATTCAAATGTAAAGGTTTCCTCGTGTTTTAATTGAAAAAAAAAAAATGTGCAAACGTGCAAACACTTACTTTGCTTAAGTAGCTTATTTAGGTTTTAGTTTAAATATTTAAATTTAGTTTTTTTATATTTCAAATTCACAACAAAACATGCTGCAATGGCCAAAAACAAGCCAAATAACTTTTCATTTACTATTTAAAGCATTTAATGTAGCCCCTTTCACACAGTGATACCGGCAAATATCCAGAAAATTTCCCGAACGCTTTTAACGGTAAATTCAAAAAAGCTCTGTTCACACAGGCGAGGACATTACGGATTTTTTCCAGAAAAGAGCATTCACACATCCACTCCAAAATACCGTTAAATTCATTACCCAAAAGTGAGCTCTAAACGGCTGCCCTTGTATTCGTAAACATTTGACTACATCACAAACTCTGTGGATGGATCAGTATTGTGAACAACTTTAAAGAAAATATAGAGCAATACTTTCGCATGTCGAGATGTACATGATATGTGTATTTGGTGGCAGCCTGGCGCTCACGGGCTGTTTCACGGGCACACGCGACACTAAAAGCAATTACAGGAAGCAGAGCTTGAAGGTAAACAAATAACGGATTATCATAAACATATTATTGATAATTATTTACACAGTTGGCAATAAAAAGGAACATGTAAACTTTATCTGACTAACATCTAGCAGCTAAATGTGTCGGGAAAAAATATTCAAAGGCTTTTATTTTCATAAACCGCGCGGACGTAAATGCATCTGAGTGTTCTGATTGGCTAAAGTTGACGTCTCACATCAACACATTCTAGATGTGAACGCGATCTTTTCGGCAATCTTCCTTCTGCACTCCCACAGCGCAGCATTCTGGCAAATTACCGGTAATGTTACAACTTCTCTTTCCGAAAAATGGCCGGAAAGAATTTACTAGTATTTTCAAAAGGGGGCTATTCACACATACAGACCTTTTCGGAAAATTGTTGGTAATTTTCCGGAAAGGTCTGTATGTGTGAAAGGGGCTAATGTGTTTAAAAAAAAAAGGGAGAAAATTGAATTGTGAATTTAAAATTGTGAATCAAACTGAATCATGAGATCAAGTATATATATATATATATATATATATATATATATATATATATATATATATATATATATAAACAACATTCTGAATGTCTCTGTATATAAGCTCACATACACTGGGTTTGCTTTTAAACAATAGTGATGGTGCTTTAACTGTTATAGTGCCTAAGCTGCAAACACACTTTGCACAGGAACTAAAATTAGAGCTTGTCAATTGCATTGACTGGAGTTCCACTTTAGCATTCCACTACAGACCTTTAATTGCTGGATTAATTGCTCTAAATGAATTTAACATGGAAATACAAGCCATCGGCACATAGGAAGGTTAGCATCGACCTGGCTTTAACTGACATTTGAAAAGGTAAAAAAGATTTGCAACAACTTAAAAATATAACAAAGCAGCACTAAAAAATGCTGAGACACTGCTTTTACCAAAACACCAAGTCCAGTGTCATTCACATAAAACAGAGTCAAGTGAATCAGGACCACAATCTCCACACAACCTGTGAAAGATCAACAAATTTTGACCAAATACACGATTCAGAGCAGGGCTGGGCGATATGACAAAAAATCTCAAGTTACAATAGATGTCATCTCATATCCTGATAACTTTATATCACAATATAGTTCCATTTCTGTAAATTCATTCAGTTAATAGACTAAAGGACAATTTCTAGCCCTCAGAAATGTACTCATTCATATGTGATTATATTTGTCACTTTA